AATGATTGGATCAGAAACTATTAGCATCCAGTGCACAATGTCGGTATTGGTGTCAATTGTGGAGATTTTTCGAGCATGGAAAAGTCGTTTGAATTCTTTTTGATTGGTTTCCAGCACATCTTCTGAAAACAACCCCACGGGCAAAGGTAGCTCCTTTATTATATCTGCACCGTGTATTAATGTGCACAAGCGCACAGATGCACTCATCTTGTGTGTAAGCTTCCCCAGGAGAGTAAGGCTTTAAAGCTGAATATGTTGGCGTCTCATGAATGTTTTTCATGCGTTCGTATCTCCTAGGGCTTGTAGTTAAAGCTAAATTTACTAATTTGGCAGCTGTCCTTTTTCCACTCTTAGTAAGGCTGGCTTGAGCAGCAGAACATAATAGCTCTGGGCTTGTCTCAGAAACAAGTGGTTTCATCACCCTGCGTTTTGTTCGTAAAGAGCTCTCTTCAAAAGGTTTTGCAGGTCTGCCTCTGGTCTTTTTCACTTGCAAATTAGTGTTCGAGCTTAAAGTGCCTACTGCTGGCAATACTAAATCGTTTAGTAACCATTTTGAATTGGCTTTTATAAATCTGTCCATGTTCCAATTCGATTTTTTTCCACTTTTGTATCAATTTTGATACAAACACTATCAAAACGCACTTGATTTTGTTTACACAGTCTTTTGACAGTTCATATTCACTAAACTTGTTCATTATGTAACTCGTTAATCGTTCTGCACACTGAGACGTTGGTTGTTTATAAAAGTTTTCGCTTTTTAACACCAAAACCAGATCCATTTTTTTAATATTAAATTCCGAGTGTGTTGGTCCACTCCGACTACCTATGAAAAAAAGGGTCTAGTGTCACAATGAGTTGGTTTGAGTTTCTAGAATTCAGAATATTAGTAGTCAACAAACACACAAGTGGATATATTTAGGACAGAAAGCGTAACTAAGTGGAACTTTTTTTGAAAGCCTTAGGAATTTTTTTTTTTATTAAAAGTAAGAGCGGAATGAATGTATAACTAGGGTGAAAAAATATATTAATCAATAAACATACCTGTGGCCTCAATGTCCATAATCAATATTTCGATTTTCGCACGATTTGAATGAAAATACCACGTTGTAATGCCTTCCGTTTTCGAATGCAACTAGCCGTACACTGCACAATGCTATCTTGCGGACCCTCGGGCGCCTTTGTTATAAGTATAACAAAGGATGTTTTTGGCCAGCACGATGGCTCAGGTACTTGACTCGAAGAATACAAGCAATTTTAGACCTTATACTTAAGTAGTAAAATTTATTTTTGACCCTCTATAGTGGTCATTTTGCCGTATGTGCCGGTTCAATCAATCAGCAAGTACTTTCACCAGCACCCTTACCCTTCAAAACTGGAACACAGTTCACATTAGTGCTTGGCGGCAGAAATAGGCAAGGTCGCAGTACTTCCGGGCGGCGTCGTGGTGAATGTTCACTGATCCCACGGCGCCGACTCAACCGGCGAGAGGGAAACCCGGGGCGGTTTTAGTGGGGTAGGCCCTCCAGTCTGGAGGGAGAGTCCCCCTGAGTCTCCCTGACCCCTGAGTCTCCTGGGCTCAGGGGTATCCATAAAGATTTCCCCCCCGTAAAAAAAAAAAAAAAAAGGTCGCAGTACTTCCCCGGACGAGCTGTTTCGCAAGGAGTTATACTACTAAAATGTTTATTGGATTTATTATTGCACACATATTCGTTTATTTATGCACATATGGTTACGGGGAATAACAAATGAACATAATTACCATATCACTTGTAACATACAAAAAAATTGTTCGTCATTATCCTATTTAAGAGCCAGTCTCTTATCTGTGTAGCCTTCTCCACTCCACATGGTTCATAGTCAACACCAAGATTTCTTTAGAGCTGCTGACTTTCACACATCAAGGTCGCCTTTATCGCGTGATTAGAAGTGATTTGAACAACGGCCTCGAAAACAGAATATCATACTTATGTATTATTATTGTATACATGTAAATTACCTTACGCGGACTATTTACATTGTAACGTTGTTATTTATTTCACCAACTTATTTTTTTCAAACTTGTACTTTACATAAAACTGGTACTTTTAATTCGCAACAAACGTGCTGCTAGCGCGCCTTGTATGCGTGAACGGAAGCACACATTTCGTGTAATCACGCCGCTAGCGGTTTGACTTGAAAAAAATAAATAAATCCGTATATTCACATTTTGAAAAATGCATGAGATAAACACAGAGTAGGTACTCGTTTTTCTCTTTTTTTTACTGAAAAAGTAAAATAAAATAACTGAAATGAAACAAGTGACGACCTCCGCAGTATCGCACACTGATTTTCATGGTGTCGCCATCTCCAAAATCCCGGGTTCGATCGGTTCAATATAGAAAATTAATTAAATTTTTATTGAATTGATATTCAGTTATTTTTTGTGAAATTACTCCACTAGTTTGTTATAATTATTAATACAAAGATCGAAAGCTCAGAAAAAACACTCAGAAAAAATTCCTTCGATCCGGTCGGATTCGAACCGACGTCTTCTTGCATACCGTGTCAGACGCTATACCAACTAAGCCACGGAACGAACCAAAGGACCACACGAATTTTTCTACGTGCTTGCGTCGTGTCTTTGTACTTGGTCTTTCAACGATCTTCAACGTCTTACGATGCTACAGCAAACAGACTGACGGACACATAGATACAGAGCATAGGTTTACTTACCTACTATTCTCTTTTTGAATCGGGATTTAAAAATTTATATAAATTAATAAAAATATATGTATTGATATTACGATACATTTGAAGTATTTCTAAGATAAAAAGAATGTTGCTGGAGTAAAATTTTGTTTGTAAATTAAAAGTCATACAAATGCTGAAGCAGTTATTCTTAAGGTGCTTTTCCACCAGCAAAGCGAGACGAGACGAGGCGAGATAAGGATCGAAATGTGTATTGCAAAATTACAATTATCTCCTAGCGCATCTATGATGGAAATGGTCTGGGTTGATGAGGCGAGAATTTAAATATTTCTAGATGTAATATTTAACCGTATTGCTGCCTACACGAGTATTATGCTATTACGCTTTGCAACGGAAACACAGAAAGAAACAACGGATTGTGGGTTACGTACAATTTTATAAAAATAGGTTTCATCTGAATTTTATTCCATTAATATACTTAATAATAATAATGATTTACGGGGCACGTTACTTCAGCAGCGTGTTTATCGCTAGACGAACTGAATCTTCTCTATCCACAACTTCACTATTAATGGCAATATGGCTATTGGTGGAAATAGGTACGCGAGATTTCAATTTTCGTCTCACCTCGTCTCGTCTCGTCTCTCCTCGCTGGTGGAAAACCCACCATACAGTACTAACTACCTCGCATAACTATTTGACTAGCATCATAAACAACAACTTTTCTTTTATTTTTTTTCCATCCATATGAGCTTCACGAATTTTTACAAAACATAATAAATTTCGAGTTCTTAGGTTTTCTAAAACTCAACGTTGAGGCAACCGTGACTATGTGACATGTAAAGGGCCCGAAACGATGGTTTGTTTGAAGAAACAAATGAACGTGATTTAAATCCGGAAAAATAAAGTTCTAGCTATTGTTGTCTGGTTATATAGTCGATGATTGTTGTAGACTAACACTATCTGACACTTTTTAGATCTGTATTTGGTAAATAATTTTAGCATTTTCCGGTTTTGAAGGGTAAGGATGCTGGTTTAGAAATTACAGGCATATGGGACTTGCCAACTTATATTTCAGGGTGACGGGCGCAGTGCTCCTAAAATCTTTGCGATTTAAAGCTCTGAGTGACGCTGCAACTGTTAAGGACAGGCGTGTAGCTTTTAGGTGTGTAGGTCACTGGATTTTATTTAAAAAAATATAATAAGTTCAAACGTGCAAACCACTGTCCCGATTACTCCCACCCGCGCTCCTGCATTTTGCACAGAGTTATCGCCATTTAGATCGATCTACTTTCTTTTGTTCGAAAGTAAAATATTATGAATTAAATTATTAAAAGCCATGGAACAAGCGCCGTTTATGACATTATAAATACTGCGAGGTTGTTAGTAGAGTTTTACAAAAAACCTTACTTTATGGCAACAAGGTTGGCATAAAAGATTCATAATAATAGCATGTCAACAATTATGCGTATAATTAATCCAGTTACGTCGTCAATCGCTCGGGAGACATCCCTAAACGCATACCTGCGGTACATCTTGGCGTTGCCGGGGACAAAAGCGATGTGCCGCGAAGGCGGCTGCGGCTCTTGTATCGTCACTGTGCGCGCGCGCCGCCAGACCAGCAATGTTGTGGAGACTTTTTCTGTTAATTCTGTGAGTAAATTTACACTATTGATGACTACTAGTAAGTACATACGTTTTCATTTATAAAATTTGAAACATTTTCGACATGGTTCATTTCAAACTTCAGTGTCAACATTCAACCTAAGAAAAAGCGAAATTGGCTATATTTTGAGAAACCAGGAAACACGAGCAATTCTAGAAGCACAGATCAGCAGTAATCTTTTAAGTTTTGTCTTGCTTAAAATGAAAATAAAAATAGAAGAGGTAAGCACTTTCCCAAAACTGCTGTAACCAGCTGATAGACTCCTTAAGGAGACCTACCCCAAGAGTGTAGGTATAGTAAAAATAAATAATTAAAAATAAACTACCTGTTCTTGACGTCGTCTTTATAAAGTCTCAAATTCATTGAAGGGGTAATGTATACGCTTCTATAATAAGATTCCGATTGACATTCAAAGTTTACCATTTGCGAGGCTTAAAACTATTGTGAAGCAAAAACTTTATACAAAAGGTTATTATACAACTTCTGCGTACTTGGATGACAAAAATCCGTGACAGTGACCCGTTTAGCTTTTCCAGTTCAGTATTCTCAATCTAAGATGTTGAAATTAGATACTGTAATGATAAATGTATTCAAATGTATATTTACAAAGAGCAACCCATAGAGTTTCTTGCTCATTCTTCTCAGGGGAATCTGCCTTGGGCTTAGCCTTGAACAGTAGAGTTTAATTTGTATGACGATTTCAAGTATAATATGCTTACCTATGAAATGAAGATTATTTGACATTGACTAGGTATAACGTTTTAATTAAGTTCTATATTAACTTAAATTTTATAGTAAAAAATTATTTATAAAAGTTTTTCATTTTTATATTGAGCACGGGAGAAACAAATAGCGTTAGATGCGTTGTTTCAGATAAAGAGTGCGTGATTTTATTAATATCGTTCTCAAATTTTCACAGTATTATTAAATGAAGTCACATAAGACATTCCCGAGACTAAATGCGTGTGGAGTCTCGAAATTTTCGAAACAGAGATTCCCGAGATAAAATCCCTATTAGCCCTAACAACTAAGTTACGAGTATTCTAATTTAGGAAGTTGTGTTTGTTCCTAGTGCATGGTACTAGTGTTCTCCTGCCACGGTTGGAAGATCACGACGATCGAGGGTCTCGGCAACCGAAGGGACGGTTATTGCGACATTCAGAAGCGAGTAGTAGCTTTCAATGCCACGCAATGTGGGTACTGCACGCCGGGATGGGTTATGCATTTGAACAGGTAATATTCACAGTTGTCATTACCAACCACCTTTACTTTTTACTTTGTGTTCCTGGCCTGGCTTTGGTGTATCAGCAAGGACAATTGCTCATAGATCTCTGTAGCTGAGTCGTAGATCCTTTTCATGTTTGATGTTGTTTCTATTGTAAGTATATGAAATATTATGTAGTATAATTTTGATTTATGATGTCACACATCAATAGAATTATAAATACTCAATTTATTTGCAAATTTTTTTAGAAATGTTCCTATGTTTTACGTGTATTATTAACATGTTTACCAATTTGGTGTTTTTTCAATGTGTTATACTAAGTATAGATTACTCACGACGTAAACTTTGATTAGTATCTGGTAATACGAAAATCTGGTAATATTTACTAAACACACGCTACCACACTGTTTTTGATTTATGAAACTTTTTTCCCAACAGCCTAAAAGACAAGAACCTCACAATGGCGGAATTGGAAAGATCCATGGGCAGTAACACGTGTCGTTGCACAGGTTTTCGGCCCATCCTGGACACATTCAAATCTTACGCAGTGGATGCCAGTCCGCAATTTTGTCAGAGGGTTAAAGACATCGAAGAACTCAACCTATGCTGCAAAAGCAAGGTCGATCATGAAAGTAAAAGCTCTAGCAAGTGTATTGATAGCGATTGTCGAAACATAGATAATGTTTCAAAAGTTAGAGCTGAGGATACAATAGCGATTGATTTCGGAAAGTGTAAATTTTTCAAAGTTTTCGATGTAGATGAAATATTCGAAGCTTGGTATAATAATGGCGTTGATTCTTATATGTTAATTGACGGTAATACTGCAAAAGGTAAGAAATTACTATTAAAATTTATCGTCTAACTCTGTTAGAACAAATTTCTTAGAGCTGTATACATTTGATGATCCAAATACATATACTTTGGTTACTTATATATAAAAAAAAACTTAAAAGAACATAACATTGATTGCTAATAATAAGTTGTGTTTACAGGAATTTACGAAACATTCGAATACCCTAAAGTGCTAATTGACATCAGCGATGTCAAATCTCTAAAAACTTACTACTTTGATCAAAATCTGATTCTTGGAGCGAACATATCATTAGAAGACTGCATTAAAATTTTTGTCGATACGTCTATATCGAACAGTGACAGTTTTGGTTATTTGGCAGAATTTGCTTCACATTTTGAACTGGTAGCTCACATTCCTATTAGAAAGGTAAGAAATACTGTCAAATATCCAAAAAATATAGTATAAGCAACAATAACTCAAATTACTCTGACGAACGACAATAATGTTTGCGTTAGCTATTTAGGCGCCTATTTGCTCGATTTTTTGTTTATCGACACTTGTCGGTCTACAATAAATACGCTACCGATAGTCTTTTCTTATAAATCAGTCGATTTTATCTGTTCACACGTGTTGATCGTCAAAAAATCGACCTAATTTGTAGGCACTTTACAAGGCATTGCTGCATTGAATGTTTTGGAATTTTAATTATTTTTGTTCAGGTGTATATAGATAAATTTTAATGTGTTCATAACCAATCCGGGCTATGCCAGAATATGGCAGAGGGCAATGTGCTTCACAGTCCTCTGTAGCCCAAGACCCAGTTGAGACGTTTGTTTTATTATTAATTTGTATTAACTTTTTATTCCTTTGAATGTCAAATAAAGTATAATAATAATAAAATATTTTCATGCGTTAAGATAAAACACTAGGCAACCCCAGTTTTGTATACGAATAAATACAACAAAAGTTGCGAGTTTTAAAGTACTAAAAAGCTTACTGAGTTTTAACCTGACACCCTGTGTGTACTAGTAGACGTTATGTAAGATGGCATTATGTATTTCCATGTATTTTCAGATCGCTTCTTTGGCTGGCAATCTAATGACTAAACACGCCATACGACAGTTCCAGTCAGATGTTTTTGTGCTCTTCGAAGCAGTGGGTGCAACAATTACTGTTCGTGAGTCACTTGCCTTACAGAGAACCGGATTAAGTACGTGCAAACGTGCTGATCTGGGGTTAGGACCTGACTTAGATGGTCCTCATGCTAGTTCGCTTGCACATGTCATAGTGCCCTTCTCGTATGCCCTCAGGGTAGGTAGGGAGGGTCACTATAATAATATAACTACAAAACTAACGTAGGAAGAAATGGAGTTGTTCATGAATCAATCATGGATGCACTAATTTATTTTGAGTATAGTAATAATTATAACATTTCTATTAAAAAAACAACCTCTAAAATCTGTGGAATTACATCTGTTTGCTAAATTTTATTGAAATCAGTAAACAGAAATTGGATGAAACCCAATAAACCGGATCATCCCCTAATTTGCCACCCGGAGAGGTGGAATATTTTCATCAATTTTCAATGGTATCATTATTGAGGTACCCCTTTACAACAAAAAGGAATCATCAAAATCAGTTCACAAAATGTAGTAATAGCGCAACATACACACAAAAAGTAAATACAGTTGAATTGAGAGCCTAATCCTAATTTTTTAAAGTCGGTTAAAAACGTGTTCTTTCACAGACTGGCCACTATTGCGCAAATGGTCACTGTAAGAATCAGCGTTATATACTTACTGCAAGATTTACATTGAATAGTAAATAAAAAATTGTATTGTAATTATAAAATGTACTGAAAATATAAAAAGGACTTGAAAAGAAGAAAAAACAATTGTGATCAAACAAATAGAACAAAAAATAAATTGCAAAGGAATAAAGAAGTATTTAACAAAAATAAATTGTATGTCGTTGACATACTTGCGCCCGCGCATGAAATTAAAATAAACGACCTATTGACACTTCAATCACAACTTAAATACTAAAATGATTAAAATACATTTAAACAATATATATAACTACATATATTAGAATAAGTATTTCTCTAGTATTCATAACAAGTAGTAGTCACAGGATAATAGAAAATTACATTGGCACTAGCACGACTTTAGAAAAGGCCCTGGAATGCAATTTCTTATCAGACGTCATTACTTCAACAACTCTAACTTTAGAGTCCTTGCCTGGAAAGATTCTTACTACACAACCCAGTGGTAAAAATTGTGGATGAACCATATCCTCCTTTAATAAAACCAAATCAACTTCATGTACATATATTTGGCTAATTTCTTTGCCATTTTGTCCTTTAATTCAAAGAGACTAGACAATCGTTTGACCGCGCGCCAAAAATGCTGCTTCAATTGTTCAATGGACTTCCAAAATTTTTAAGTGGTTATTCGGAACATTCAATAAAGATGGCTGTAGAAATGAAGTTAATGGACAACCTATTAGAAAATGTGTGGGGAAGGAAATAAATGGGTCTGTTTTCCGGTAAACAATTGTCCATGTCAATTATTTTAGTGTGTCCTAATGCCAAAAAATAAAAATTGATGAAATCTACATATAATGAGTGATACTCAGGATCTTTATCGAAACGTTTGTCCAAAATTGTAAAAACGTTGTAAGGAAATGAAAAATGAATCCGATAAATCCATTGACTTACAAATAAATGGACGACTGGTCTAACACGAAAAAAATGTCTTGTTAATTCCATTTGTTTTGTAATTAGATGGTTTGCTGTTTTTCCCACACCACCGAATAGAACTGCACGGCATTGTTAGAGATATTATCTTTATTACAATAAATACAGAATATTTTTTAGAATATACGGAGACGTACACACAGGTCAGTAGTTAGTCTGTCTATATTTCAGTACAAACAGGAGTTGCTATTTATAAGAGCTGTATCGCTAATGTGTTACCAGGAATATATGGCCCTTATTTTGTCTCTATTTCTGGTTATATACTCGATGACTGAAAATGTAAAATTGATGTGAAAAGAAGAAAAACAATTGTGATTAAGCACTTTTGTTTTTTTAAACAGTTTCTTTAAACAAAAAGATAAATTGCAAATGAATAAAGAAGTATTTTACAAAAAAGAGATTGTATGTCATTGACAGTTTGGGGAATTTATCGTTCCCTTAACGAACAATAGAACGGCCTCGTGAACTTCATAAACCGTGATATTTGACAATTTGATATGTACAAAATAATCCCGACAATCTGCAATCGCTCTGACTTAAGTGACAGTTCACGTAAATAAAACACTAACGAATATTTTTGGCAAGTGTGACACTCTCCTTGGCGACTGTCGTCCAAAGAGACTGCTACAGCGAGCCGGTGATAATAGGCGGTGTTTAAAGGTATATCCATACATATCCGGGCCGTGCCCGGGACTTGGACGGGCCGTGCTCCATCAGGGGCTCAAAAAAATATCGTTGCGTATATTTTATATAAACTCGTTCACACATGTCCGTGTCCGGGCCGGCGCCGGGACGGGCCCGCAGTTCATACAAACTAGCACGCCCCGACCACGCCCCGGGCACGGCCCTGATGTGTGTGGATAGTCCTTAAAGCCGCCACATCTACCCCCCACGGAGTGAAGAAACCGAACATAAAAATTAAAATTAACCAATTGAACAAATTCAGTAAAATCTTTAAAACGTACATGCCTTCGGGTCGTGTGCGGAGTGCCGAGCGAGGAGGTGGTTGGTTTGTCTGAGGGAACTGGAGGCAGCAAGTGCAGCGGAACTGCAGCCAGGGGCTGCCCAGCCGGTGGCACGGCAGGTGGGGATCGGAAGTCATCGGTGACATCAGCATTGATGTGCGCAGGTTTCACACGATCAATGCTGACGGTGACTGTCCTTCCGCCGACGTCTAGCGAAATTGTCTTGTCCCTTCTATCGAGGACGCGGTGAGGTCCAGAGTACGGCTTGCGGATGACGCATTGATGTCCTTCTTAAACCGTACGCATGCCGAATAGCACATGACTCAAATTGACGCCCCTGATCGGTCGTGACGATGCCAGGAACACCGAAATGGGCAATCCATCCCGACACTAATTTGTCAGAAACTTCTGCAGTTATGGTCGCCATCGGCCAAGCCTTCAGCCACCGTGTGTCTATGGCGGTCAAACAATAACTGAAACCATTAGAACATGGAAGTGGGCCGATGATGTCGATATGCAGACGACGGAATCGACTGATAGGTTGATCAAACCGACCAACAGATGATTTAACATGCCGATTGATGCTAGGCCATACGTCGCGACTTGCTACTAAGCGCAAATATGCCCGTGTATCAGAGTGACTGAGGCTATGGCAACCGCCCAAAGTAGCTCGACGGAACGGTGAAGTGAGGTAAAGTCGACTGCGACCGGTTGAGGTATCACATATTAGAGTGATGTTGGTGCCAGGGATCAAAACCTGTTCCAATTTCAAAGCCGATGCTTCTTGCATTTTCGCCAACTCTATGTCAGACATTTGAGATTAAGCTAGTGCGGCGAAGTCGTCTTCGAGTGAAATCGCCTCGATGCGGGATAAAGTGACCGCGACGACGTTATCTTCACCCCTAACATATTGAATGTCAGTTGAAAATTGGTTAATAAAAGATAGCTAGTCAGTTGCGGTGGAGTTAATTTTTCACGACGTTGTACGAAGGTACAGCAGTGGCTCACGGTCAATATACCTATATATATACGTGTTGCGCTTCGAGAATGTAGAAAAAATGTTGTACGCTTTCGTACGCCGCCTGCAATTCTCGACAATTAGCAGGCCACTGAGCTTGCCGAGGAGTCAATTTCCTTCTGAAGTACGTGAGAGGATTCCAGGCACCGTCCACCGATTGCTGAAAGCTAGCACCAACATGGACACTGGTTGCATCGGTAAATAACCCAAGGGGTGCATCCATGATCGGGTGTTGCAATAACGTGTCACGTCGGGGTCACCAATTTGGAGAATTTATCGTTCCCCTAACGAACAATAAAATGGCCAGATGAACTTCATAAACTGTAATATTTCATAATAATTGTATGTACAAAATAATTCCGACAATTTGCAATCGCTCTCACTTATGCGACAATTCACGTAACTAAAACTATCGAATATTTTTGGCAAGTGTGACACTCCTTGGCGACTCTCGTCCAAAGAGACTGCCACAACGACCCGGTGATAATAGGCGGCGTCTAAAGCCGCCACAACAGTTACTTTCACAGATAGTGAATAAAAAAATCTGGAAATCTTTTTAATCGATTGTTGTTATAATATAATCATAATGTGCCAAACATCCACACCTTTTTGCCTGGTCTCAAACTAGGGAATTCTCTGTACTGTGAGTACCAGAGTAACGGAATTCACTCCGGGGGAATCCAATCCACTTTAACCAACCCAGCTCCCGTAGCATGGTTACGCATGATGTCGCGACGCGATCTAAATTAGGTCTGCTTGGGACAGCTAATAGCGCGCGCTTATTCCAATTTTCTCGCGCGCGTCGCGACTATTATGCGTAGCCATGCTACGGGGGCAGAAGTAATTTACAAAAGTTCATTTCCCAAATTGATCCTATCGGGAACTACCGTTGGGCCACCTACTCACACACAAATAAATCGTTTGTTATTTTTTGGATTAATTTCAGGCATTGTTAGCTGTGAGTATATGAATATTTTTTAAATAAAACTTACAAATAATCATTGCAGGACATGTAAATGGAATAGAGAACACCCTGACAATGATAGAGTTTCTCGAATACGACATGAAAGGTGTTTTGATAATGAAAATTGAATTACCACCTTTGAGTTCGTCACATAAGTTCAGGAGCTATAAAGTAATTATTTAAAATTGATTTTTCCATAAAGTGTAAACAGAACCGTTACATATCCTAAACCGATAATTATAAGCGCTATTGTTGTTTTCCAGATAATGCCACGGAATGAAAATGCTCTAGCCATTGTGAACGCAGCGTTCATGATGGAACTAAAACACGACACCGTAACAAATGTTAGCATTGTGTATGGTAATATTTCAGAAGAATTCGTTCACGCCAAAAAAACTGAAACTTTCTTGAAAGGCACTAATATTTTCAACAACAGTAAATTGCAAGCTGCAATCAAAATTCTAAATGAAGAAATTGAGCCACAAGATGAACCTCCCAAAGCTTCACCTGAATGCAGAAAGAAATTAGCCATTGGACTATTTTATAAGGTACATATGAAGATATTTAATGCAAAAGATATGCGCACAAAATTAAACAGTTAAACGTGGTATATTAGACAGGTTTTAAAAAAAGACGTTACTTATTAAACTTTTTTTAGTTCATCCTGAACATTTCTCCGTCCTGGTGTACTTCATCTTGCGTCCTTTCTGGAGGGGCAATTATCGATAGACCTATATCTAGCGGAACTCAGGACTTCCAAATTGATAAGTCCTTGTTCCCACTCAATCAGCCAGTGCCCAAATATGAGGGTATAATACAAAGTTCTGGAGAAGCCCAATATGCCAATGACATACCGCCAATGCCAAATGAAGTCTTTGGAGCTTTCGTTCTGTCCACAATACATTCAGGAAGAGTTGATAAAATTGACACAGCTGAAGTTCTAGTAAGTAAAATAAAAAGTTTAGTCAATATTCTCAATTCAATATGGATGTTGTTTAGTTACGTATTTAATTATATTGTAAATAAATTTTATAGTTTGATTGGGTGATGAGAGTTTCGACGGAATGGTTTCCTGTTGTTTAGAACAGCCCTCATACCTTTCTACATAAGTTTTGATTATAGTGACCCTTCCTACCGACCCTGAGGGTATACGAAAAGGACACTATATATATAGTGCGTATATAGCCTGTGCGTGCACAGGAAACTCCTAAGTTTAGGTTCTGACCCCAGATCAGCCAGTGTACAGGGTTGTCACAGACCGTTGTCACTGTGACTTCATCCGGATCTCAAGAGGGTAGTGCCTCTGATGAGCCGCCTCGGGTGCACTTACAGTACCCTCCCTATTTTCCAGATAGGTACCGGAGCTGTAGGCACGCTCGTTTCCCGTTGCACATTTCCACAACTAATGGTTGCCACCGCAAAGCCATTGACTCTAGAGTCCACTACCAAATCTAAATATATGTATAAATATACGCCGCAAGTGGAGGTTACCTATTTTGTACCAACGTGACTTAAAAACTCTTAGTCGCCGCTGATACACTTCAGAACGTTCTGGCTTTCAACCGTTTCACTACCTGCCGAATTCCATCGCGTACTAAAAGGTTCGGTGGCTCCTTTCTATGCCGCACGGTTGACAAATGGAACTCCCTTCCGGCACATGTCTTCCCTCCCTCTTATGATATGGGGTCCTTCAAACGAGGCGTGACGAGGCATATTGTAGGCAGGCAGGGTGGAGGTGGCTAGTGCAGTGAGGATTTCATCGCTGCACTAGGTTCCTTCGCGTTTGGATACCACTTTCCACTTAACATCAGGTGGAGTGGAGTCATTTGCCTGTCATGTATATAAAAAAAAAAAAAGAACGCGTCCAGTCGTTATCGTAGTTATGCCGTTATGCCAAATTATGCCATTAGAAACTGCAAAAATACCACACCTGTGAGTAGATGAATAAACAGAAAGGTTGTCTTCCACAGTTAAGTCATTTTGTACCTAATCAGAATATATATAATTTATTTTAAAATCAATTTAGATATATGTATATGTTTAAGACAATGCCAATGTAGTATCTCTCCCTACAGGGAGATGCGCATAATTAGTGTTAAAATTTAAACAAGCGCAGATTCATATTTCTGGTAAATGAGGTAGAACAGTATAACTTAATTATTCGACTAAATGAGTCTACAATAAATGAATAGAGATATATGAATTTTGTAATTTTAGTGGTACCATTATATTTTTATAGGAACTTGAAGGCGTCGTAGCTGTTTACACACCAAAGGACATCCCAGGAAAGAATTCATTCATTTTTCCCGGCATACAACTTCAAAAAGAAGACGAAGAAATTCTGGCCAGTAGTGACATTAAATTCTATGGTCAACCGGTTGCCATTGTAGTAGCAGAGAGCGAAGAATTAGCTGCAAGGATAGCCAAAAAAGTCAAAGTTACGTATAAAGATGTTAGTACAGCAGTGCCAGTTCTAACCATAGACCAAGCAAAGCGAGACAGCAAACGTTATAAAGTTAGTGATGTTTCTATAAAACCTAAAGGCAAAGGATTGAATGTAAAACATGTGATCAAAGGTGTATACGAAATACCAGCTCAGTATCACTACTACATGGAACCTATCAGTTGCGTTGTGGTGCCCGTGGAAAAGGGCTTAGAAGTTTACGATTCGACGCAATGGATCGACTTAACTCAGAACGCTATTGCTCGCAGTTTATGTATTAATGAGAGCCAGTAAGTATTTCTTTCTTTTATGATATCAAGTGATGGGACGATCAAGTCGTGCGCCTGGTGGAGAAGCGACACGCCTGCCTATAACAGTTGCAGTGCCACTCAGAGGACTTGACACTGCTACTGCACCCGTCACCCTCTTTCACCAACACCATGTCTTCAGAATCGGAGTGGATTACTGCTTGGCGGCAGAAATAAGTGTGGTGATAGTAATTCCTTCGAGTAGAGGATTGTACTTTCGCGAAGAGCTCCTCTGCTACTAAAACTAAAAATTGTGCTATTTGAATCAATAGCACAATTTTTAGTTTTCAGTTGTGTTGACATTTGTGAAACTCGGGGATAGAAACGCAGGGAATATAAATACTTGTGCTTCTATACAATACGGTATGATTAACATTTTATACAGGGTTTTTTGTTTTGGTCAGTCTAAAGGCAGTCTATAATACCGACGTGGTTTTATTTTTTGTGACTTTGTATGTTGATGTGGTAGTTACTTACGTTAAACTTAACATGGGGACCGCGCAGATTTATTAAATATTAACTGGACCCGCCAGACTTTACAATGCTACTCAAAACGTGTAAAGTACCTAACTCCTACGGCTGGTGTGTTGGACAATCCTTATTTTGGATGTACTACGTGAGTGCGAATGCCGATTACGCGAATGACGATAGTGAGAAGACGGTTGCGCGAAAGTTTATTTGCGCGAATAGTCGGTTGCGCGACAGTTCATATGCGCGAATGGTCAGTTACGCGAAAGCTTGAATGCGCGATAGTTCATTTGTGCGAATGACGATAGCACGAAGACAGACTTGCGAAAGCTGGAAGGCAAGTTAATTGTTGCAAGTACACTCTAATAAACTTTTACAAAGATAAACGTGTAGTTTATTATGAAAGCTATGCATTGCAAAGAATTGCAACAACCTGCAGCCATGGGAGTCAAATCTGTCTTCGTGCTATCGTCATTCGCGCAAATGAACTATCGCGCATTCAAACTTTTGCGCAACTGACCATTCGCGCAAATCAACTATCGCACATTTAAACTTTCGCGTAAATGAACTATCGCGCGTTTAAGCTTTCGCGCAACCGGCTTCGCACTATCGTCATTCGCGTGATCGGCATTCCCACTCACGTAGTACACCCATTATTTACGCGTATGGACTGCAACGAGTGACGCAACGCGGGTGTCAAGTAACCGGCCTCAGAAACGTCAATACATGATACCTTTGGGCCTAAATTCTCCTTTAAGGAGGTCGCCAGATGTTCAGATGGTACTGTCAACATAAATCATATTGTAGGAAGGATACAACCGCTCGATTCTCAGAGTAACTTGGCTTTCATTCGTATACTCCACAATATCAGCAGACTTTGTGGAGAATGAAGACGTGATACATGTAACGACGTTGTCGGTACCGCTGGACGCAGCAGATCATTAGGGTCAGTCGCACCGATGTGCGACTCACGCAACGGCTGGTGTGCTTTTTTTTGTTCCACCTTTTTGAAACCGTCGTCGTCGCACTGGTCAACTCGTTTCGGTGATACTAATGACACAGCTCCAGAGACGAGTTCTCGTTTCTTTTTTTCCCTCTTCGTTGATAACTGCCTGAGTTGTGGTAGTGGAGCAATTGGTCGGTTAGCAGCGGCTACATCAGCCTTAAACCTCCTCAAAGGAGACCCGTGCCCAGCAGTGGGATCTAATACCTCAGAACTTTGTGCGGGGGTGGGCGCAATAACTCATGACAAATTTTATCGCAATAGTGGAATGCATACAAACATACATACCTACATTCATTTTTAAACAACAAACATATAGTATACATTTTGGTGCCAGGGAATCTGATATTAATATGCGACCAAATCAAGGGGATATCTACCTGAAATCCGGACAAATGTCACACCCTTAATCCAAGAACTATAATTATATTACTATTATATTATATTACTATAATTAATCAATAAAATCTACCATTATAAAAAATATCTTTACGTGCTCGAGTGACGTGTAGAATTCTAATTACTTATATACTACTCTTGCCACCAGGGTCTTAGTCAAACTCCGCCGTATTGGTGGTGGTTTTGGAGGGAAGATCAGCCGCAACGCTCAAGCCGCCACTGCATGTGCATTGGTAGCTAAAAAACTGGACAGACCTTGTAGATTCATCTTGCCTCTTCAGACTAACTTGACTATAGCAGGAGCAAGATGTCCATGTCTATGTGATTATGAGGTACAGTTGTTTCATAACTTTGAGGCCCATATTAATTATTTATGAAAGTTACTAAGCCGTTTACTAACACCGTTATTAAGTCCCAAGAAACCGACTCGTGATCACTTGAGATGGTATCGTCCAATGATAGATAGGTACCCATGATTACATTATACAGGAGAACTTCAGATGTATCGCCAGATCTGAGTGAGGTATTAACCGATGAACACCTCATACGGAATTTTGGAGTTGTTTATTAAAACGTTTATTACACTACCTGATTTCAAGGGCCTTGCGTCAGGGGTACGACAAGGGCGTAGCTAAATTAGAGTTAAGGTCCCTTGAAATCGGATAGTGTAAAAACTGTTTAAGATTATTTATCTTTGGCCAAGAGGAAAAAAATAATCCAATGTTATTTGTAAATTCATTAATTTACAAATAAATGTACCAAATAAGTTAGCCGATGATATGGGTAGATGATACATTATAAGGTTCTATCATATGGAAGGGTCTAGTAAACTATTCAAGCATTGAAATCAAAGTAATAACAAATATCTCACATTTTCAGGTTGGTGTTGACAGTAACGGCAAAATCCAATACTTAAACGCAACCATCGTGGAAGACTACGGATGTTCCCTAAATGATGATATCTTGGAGTACACTGTAGGAGGATTCAGCAATTGTTATAACATTGACTACTTTAGTTTGAAAACTGCTTCTGTTCTTACTGATTCATCGTCAAAAACTTTTATGAGAGCTCCAGGTAGATAAAAAATTGTACTAACTTAAAAGTGTAACATTTATTTATTTATAAAGAAAATCAGTATACATACATGATACAGGTGTTTGACTGTAAGTGCAATCGCCCAAGACGTTGCGTCTCATGTTGGGCGCAAAGTAATGTTGTATATTCTGTATGTACATACCTACAAAATTCAGAGAAAATAGTTTTTTTTTTTTAATAAAAGGTTCTACTAAGAATCTATCTAATTATAATTTCTTTACACAGGCACCTTTGAAGGTATGGCCAGCATCGAACACATAATGGAACACATTGCTTATGCCTTAGGAAAAGATCCTACAGAAGTCAGATTAGCCAACATGAGAACTGAAGATAATGATCTTCCCAAACTCATTGAAGTTCTCAAGAAAGAAGCGAACTATGGCAATCGCGTAAGTTCTATTAAACATTTCAACGAAACCAATCGTTGGAAGAAGAAATCCATAAAAATCAGTGTAATGAGCTTTCCTGTTATCTATTACGGAAACTACAGCGCCATGGTAACAATATACAGAGGTGATGGTACAGTAACAGTGACTACTGGAGGCATAGAGATGGGACAAGGCGCTAACACTAAAGCAGCACAAGTTTGTGCCTATGAACTTGGGATACCTTTAAAATACATCTCAATATTGCCGCATTACTCATTCACAGCTGCGAACAACGTTTTCTCCGGCTCAAGTATTGTAAGCGAGTGTGTTTGCTATTCTATTATACAAGCGTGTAAGACATTGAAAGAGAGGTTGGAGCCGATTAAAATGAAGCTTGAAAAACCAACCTGGGAAGAGTTGATCGCCAAAGCCGGGGAAGAGCAAGTGGATTTAACAGCATTTTACATGATGACTGATAAAGAAAAGGACCTCGATAGTTACAGCGCATTTGCTGTTGCAATGTTGGAAGTTGAATTGGATGTTCTTACGGGAAGATATGAAATTTTGAGAGTGGATATTTTGGAGGATGTTGGGCTGAGCGCTAATCCCAACATAGACGTTGGCCAGGTTGGTGTCACAAATTGAATCACCTAAATGTAAATTCGAAACGATCAATACAAAAATTGGCTTCATTTTTCTCGTTTTAAGCATTCATAATTTTGAAATAGTCAAATATCAAAATATAGCAAACAACAACTACGCGACATTGATCAGCGTGATCTATGACTAATATTCTTAGTACTAAACTGTTAAACATAATTTCAGGTGGAAGGTGCCTTTGTTCAAGGCCTTGGGTACTTCACATGTGAGAAGATAGTATACGACAAACACACAGGCAAACTATTAACCAATCGTTCCCTGAATTATCACGTACCCTTGGCTTTAGATATTCCTGTTGATTTTAGAGTTAAACTGAGATATAATTCCAAAAACCCTAAAGGTGTCTTAGGATCTAAAGGTATAATTTATAATGTATCTATTTTTATATCGTACGTATCAGAACTGCAACTTTCCCTACAAACCTGCGTGTTGGACAAGATTTTACTAGTAAAGTGGCAATCGATAGATGTGGTAAATTATGACGCAAGTCGAGGCGAGGAAATAGCACGTATTTATAGAATGGTGTGGTTAGCATCCTAATTCTACCAAATTTTACGATTCCCATAATAAAAATAATAAAGTACCTGTAGTAATAAAGACATGGTGGTATGGCATTATTTTTTTCTTCTATCTTCAATAATGGAATCTCAAGAATCTGTACAATAACGACCAATTTACAAGTTTAATGTAGTTTTTAACCGACTTAAAAAGGAGGAGGTTCTCAATTCGACTATATAAAAAAGTGAACGTGTTATGGTAATTTTTAAAATACTATTTTCAAACAAAGACAGGTTTATCTGGATACTGATTTAACTGGTGCTCGCGACTTCGTCTGTGTAGAACAAGTACCTACTTCGAGTAACGTAAACTGTACTATACTAATTTTCGTAGTTTTATAGGTTCTCCGTACAAACTTTCATCCCCTATGAGCGATGCCACACGATGCGTTGCGCCGTCATTGCGTTGTGACGCTGCGTTGCACTTCATATACCTAAATCAGAACGACATGCGTTCGGTGCGTTGAAAAGGCGCACTACTGCAAGCAGCTTAGTAACCACAGTGGTGCGACGACGCAACGCCCGTGTGGTATCGCTGTATTTCATCCCCTTTGAGCTTTATTTTTGTGAAAAAGTAGCCTATGTCCTTCTCCTGGGTCCCATCTATCTTTATACCAAAATTTATAAAAATTGGTTGAGTGGTTCGCATTTAAAATATTACTTTGGATTAGATTGATCTACTATTATAATGTTGCAGCGGTAGGCGAGATGGCTACAACCACTGCCCACATCATCACGCATGCGTTGCGAGAATGTATTTATGAATCGCGCAAGGAATCCGGTTGTGACCCAACCGAGTGGATAAATATTGGCAAGTTCTAATATTTTTTACTATACTATATACGAACAAACGAACTTCTGGAAGGTATTACATAAGACTACCTACCTGCAAGTAAGTTAGGGCCAGTATAAACCGGCTGACGGCGGCGTGGAGATGCCTGCCACTGGACACTGGTGAGGGAAAACTACCGGTCGCTCGGATTTAAATGTCTTCTACTAGCGACTATGCAGTCGAAAATTTCCGAGCGCATACCAGAAGATTCTCTGGTATCCTTTAGCATGCCTCTTGAATACCACAGAGATTAATGCGCTGCGATGCTCCGAAATCGGTCTCAGTGCATAAAAAGTTATACTTATTTCAATTGTTATAACAAAATATAAAGTTATAAATTTAATACTCTCTGCCTTCCCATCCGCCATTGTATGGGACGAAAAAAAAGGGGCATTTTTATTTTTAATTTTTTCTTCTAATATAATAAAGTCATCCTTCTAGGAAACCGAGTTTATTAGAAAAAAGAGTCAATTTGAGTAATTTTGTGTGAAAAAATATTTTATGACATTTGATCAATTTCTGCTATCCTATAGCTATGCACACATTTTACAATGAATCGATCCCTTCATGAAACGGAGTCGATTAGCGCTAAAAAAAATTTAATTTTATTAATTTTTATAGACAACTCACGCTTGGCAAAAAAATTGGCTATGACAAAATTGTATTCACAAAAAAAAACTTAATGGTTCCTAAGACAGTTTCCTTGTATCTTCTATGGTTTCTGATTTCCCCATAATGCCAAATTTAAAAAAGTTAGATAATTCAGGTTTATTTTTTCAAATGCGGTAGCACTCCCTGGACAGCATTTATGTAATTGTCCCAAATTGCTTCCGAGGCCCCTACCGCCCTTCTAGGGCTCTTCAGCACGGGAGGGATCACTTTGGGAAACTGTGATTTAGATTTAACCTAGATGCTATCGTTCTTGGGTGAGAAATGTCCACGCTTGGTCAAGTGTAAGTTGGTGTAGACAGTGAAACCGCTTATATCAACCTTGTAAGTTACAACTTGTAAGAAAATCAGTAGACGCGCCACTGCAGCATATCTACAAGTGTCTAATTTGAAGGCGCCCTAAAAATCGAATTCACGACTTAACTTGATCCGACTATTCCAATATCAAATTCTCGAGTCAGGTCACGATCATGAAACCAGAATCATGAATACATTTTTCTTTTTCAGATGTCCCATATGACACGGAGTCTATATTGAAAGCGCTCGATGTAAAGTTAGAAGAAATGGTTTTGACACATTAGTGAACCTAATAAAAAATCCTTATTCAAATGGTTTGGTGCACTTGAATTTTCAATAAATATACGTTCTATTTCGCAATACACGTTTATTTTTCATACGTCCAACAAAATTAGTAATTAATTCACAAAATTTAGGCTTCCAAATAAGTCGTCGAGTTAGGCCTTCAACAAAAAAAAACAGATAAAAATACATCCATTTAAATTAATTAATTATATAAACAACCAATACCCAAACAAATAAAATAAATAAATACATAAGTTATTGATTTTTATAAATTAACAAAATTGTTATTAAATTAAAAATTCCCAGTTCTAATTGTAAACTGTACATTAATACTATACGTAATCATATATAAACAGGAAAGTGTGTTGCAAAAAGTGCAATCCAAATATTACTTGTTATATCTACAAATAAGTTCTAAATGTCATAATCTAATGTAGGCAGACTATTTGATAGGACTGCGCGATTTAAATCTAGGAGGGGTTTAATTCCCTCCGGTATTATTTCGTAGAAGATATGAGAAGATCTAGACAAGATCATTTTAAAGCCGATTAATAGATGATCTATATTAGGTCACCAATAAGGTTTACCAAATTACTGTCAATAAAGTTGAAATTGCGGTGTCCAGTTCAAGAGTTGGAAGCCATGTCAATAAAAATAGAGAAGGAATATTACTTCGTAAGCAATAATAGTAAAAGCCTAGTTCTTCTCATACAAGCTAGAATAATATGAAAATATGATTAGACAAAAATATAAGATGTACATTTATATGAGAAGCCGTGGACAAAAATATAATAGGGTCGACACAATGGTATATAAAAAGTAGCGGTAGTAAACTAGTTGTATACAATTAATAAGAAAATAAAAAATATATAACGTGATGTAAAAAGACATTCCTGTTACACATTGTGCAGAAACAATTTTAATGAACATCTCAACTATAAGGCCGACCGAGTCTTTTTTTCTATTATAAGTAAAAATCAAAAATTTTGTAAAACTTCTACTTCCTTACAAAGAAATAAAAGCATCGTCTTATTAAACAATTGTCATTCACCTTAATAATAATTTCATTGTAGGTTTTCGTATTTCAGCTGCGTCTATTTCTATTCCATAAAAGCTCTGTGTACAAAAGTCTTTAATTCTGTGTAAAAAGCAGCTAAACTAATAATCTCTTGGTAGCAGGCAGGTAACGAAGTTTAATCAGTACAATAGCCCCTAGGTATCCCAAAAAATGCTAATCTAGAAATTTCGTTGATGATCATTAATATCACAACTTCAGTCCGTTTTTGGGCCCTAACGAGTTCGTATAACTTGGACAAATTGTGATGTTCTCCTAAGTGGTATGTTACAATATCTTTGGAGGAACTTACTAGACTTAAATATCTGTTGAGAATCATGTTAAGTAAAATTCGATTAAGATTAAAAATAGGATTCGAAAAGTATAAAAAAAATTAAATATTAATTCTAGGCGACTGTATAAATCTAAAGTACCTTTATGTATAGCACTGTTGGCAATTTCCAATTTTCCAAAGTTAGCAATTTATAATTGGACATACAATCATAATTACCAAACAGAAACAGAGCGTTCCTTTCATAAATAAAGTTAAGCATGTCAAATTACTCTAACTTTAGTGCGACACAGAATGGACACCTGTTGTCGGGTTTTTCATTAGAGATAATAAACTGTTAGCTATCTATTAATGCCACTTTGAAAAATAATTTTGACATTATTATTGTATTAGTGACGTTTGGTTCTGTTGTCAATCAACTTACTGAAACGGAATCGGTCAAAAAGAAACGTGTCTACATATTTCTATAATTTTTCTGTAAACAAATAGTTTCTGTAGCAGTGGAGCTCCCTGTGAAAGAGTTAGTCCAAGGAAGTACTGCCACCTTACCTATTTCAGCTGCCAAGCACTGCGTTCCAGTTTTGAAGAGTAAGAGTACCTGTCAACGTACGTCTCAGTGTGACGGGCGCAGTGGCAATGTCCCGCAGTTTTTTGCGATTTAAAGCTCCGATTGGCACTGCAACTGTTATGGACAGCCGTGTAGCTTACCATCAGGTGCAAGACTTGGTCGTCCCGTCACTTGATATTATATAAAACATAATAATAATATATTACAAAACGTATTTACCTTGATGACTTACCGAGTGCGTCAGTGACGTCGATCCGTTAAGACCTATATACTTTATAAAATGCTAATCGTCAGTTTATAATCTCTAATCCGACCATAACGAGGTTTTTAACAGCAATAATATACACTTACAATGACGTTGATATTCTAGTGTCACGGGTGAAAACGTACAGTCACACAAAATTGACGCAAGATAAGTTGTCATCCTTATTTTATGACTATAACAATATTATTTGTTATAACGTTAAATGTGTAAGATATATCTTTATTAATGACTGAACGTGTGGCACGTTCTTGTTTTCCTTGCATCACATGTAACAATTTATCAATAACGTATACGAAAGGAATACACTCAAATTGGGTTAGTTTGAACACTTTTATTAGGTTTTCATAAGTTTTATTATTTGATGTACCCTTTCATGCCTAAATAACGAATTATTTATTTATTATTAATTAGAAACAAAAATTTTTTTTTATATAATAATAAATTGCTTTAGTTTTCAGTATCTTTGAACACGGTTATTTTGGATAGCAAAAATCTTATTGACTTGGGTATGTTAGAACATTGAATAAAAAAACAGGTTTGTTAAACTAAATAACCTTGTTATAATGGACAAATTGCCATTATCTTCATTTCAATCATCATAATATTATCTCAAGGTGTACAAGCAATATTTGTATTTTCTCGGATCGGACTTCGTGCACAAGCGACATCCGAAGTGGGTTAGAGTTTTTTAAATTTGTATAGTCTCGGATTCGGGACGAATAATATAACGAATTTAAATGTTGAAGAAAAGTAACAATCTAAGACCTGGCAATGTGGCCAATTAGACGCCTAAGTTTGTCTCGAAGGATGAAAAATTTCACCACTCGTTAACTGTCAAGGTTATGTCAATTTGACATCTATAATATTTGGTTTTTTCGTTTCACACCGTTATGAATGTAGTTGATTAGAAGCTCTTTTTAGTCTAGTTTCAATAAAAATTATAAGGGAATTCAAAGTTACCCAACTTGGTGGAATTACATTCCGTAAAGAGTTCCGGACTTATGCGGCTGGATTACTTATTTATTTAATGTATTATTACTGAATATTTTTAGGTTTGTATTGGTAAATTGCTCTTAAGTTCGGTATTAAGCCAGTTTCGGTTGAGATTTCACACAGATCTTTAGTTGCGTTCGAAGCTTTCCTACACGAATAGACTAGAATCATCGGCGTTTCGGGCGACAGCATTCCAAGTGACGAAGATTTTATTACGACTTACACGGGTCTTGAGCCACAGGCGAAGTGCCGAGCCACGTCCGTTAGTTACCGTGAATTCAAGCGACAAGGAAGTGCGGCACGGGTCCGACCGTTCAGGGGTCGATGTCGTGCGACCGCACCGCGAGACCGGCGCCGCCCGCCGCCGCGGGGCCGAGCTGGCGCGGCGGCGGGCGCGGTCACGCGGCGGGCTCCAGCGCGCGCGAGCGCTTCTTGTCGGGGCGGTGCTGGTCGGGCGTGGCCTTGAGCAGGTCGGGCTGGCCGTGCGCCAGCGAGTGCTGCGAGCTCAGCGTCAGCGTGGCCGTGGTGGCGTGCGAGTGCGCGGAGTGCGCGGAGTGCGCGGAGTGCTGCGACGCCAGCGTGCTGTGGCCCGTGGTGTGGTGCGCGTGCGGCGCCTGCGCGGCCAAAGGCGCGTGCGCGAGCGGCAGCGTGGCCGCGCCCGCGCCCGCGCCCGCGCCCAACCCCGCCCCCGCCCCCGCGCCCGCGCGCCGCAGCGAGCGGTGGCTGCCGTTGCGCGTCAGCGAGTTCATCTGCGGCGTGCCCAGCCCGCCGGGCCGCAGCGCCGCGTTCTTGTAGTCGGCGATCAGGTGCGTCAGCTCCGCCATCTAGGGGCGACCTCTTCGTGTAAAAAATTTGTTCGCGGCGCTGTCGACTTTGTTGCGAACTTGCACTAACAAAACTCGAAAATGCAATTACAGTGCACCAGTTATGACACGACTCACCTGACGTATAAAAGTAATATTTACACGCTACAGTCTGTCTTTCTAGAAGACGGAGTAAAATGACGGTTCATTGCTCAAAAGTGTTGCCCGATCCCGTGCAGCTAATAATTGCAGTTAATAAATATTATATCGTCTGTAGACTGAATTTTGATCACGCGTATGATACAAATAGCCAAATTTATTTCATTTCAACCACCCTCGAGCCATTATTCATCCAATAACATTTTTTTAATTAATAACTGAACCCAAATTCATTTCAGAAAACGATTTTTGTAAGTTCATACATATATACACTGTATTTAGAACTATATTAATGAAAAATATAAGATGGACATATATTTAAAAATTTTCATTTTAGTACTATATAGATAATCAAATCCGTCTGTTCTTTTTAAAATGTATGTGAATAAAAATTGACCTCAATGATAATACGCCAACTATCAAAATAAAAATAAAGAAGGCAATAACACAATTAATTAGTAACCATTACATCGTCGTAACATTCACAATACAATAATTTTGTTTTAACAAAATTTTATCTTCTTTCACAATCCATCGATAAAACTATCGACAACAACTTCATAAATATTTAAAACTTTATGAAAACTAGCAACCCTATAAACGTAATTTTAGTCCATTTAAAAAAGACACTATAAAAATCAGAACGCAACTAGATTAACTTTCATCTAAACAAGTAAATAAATACATTAATATTTTCATTAACCATCTTTTGTAATAATAATATGAATGATTTCCTTTAAATAAAATTAATTCATTTTCAAATGAACCTTACTAACAAATTAGCATTTAGTTAAGCTTTTCTGTTTCTGTACTAGTTGAATTGAATTAAGTCTGTCGATTTCTGTAATGAACAATAATAATTACGAATCAATTAAGCATCAAGGAACGAACAATACCTTAGGCTTATTGAGACTGATCAACATCTTGTGCACGGGACTCGTCGCGTCGTCGGCATCGATCAACATCATGAGGTCGTCCTGAAAAAACGCCACAATATCTATTAAATTCTTGACCCATCCACGAAATCATTATTATTAAAACCCCACCATCATCAACGCCGTGGTAGTCTAACCTACCGCTTCTCAAGCTGAGGGCGCAGATTCAAATCCGGGCTTTCTGAGATTTACGGAATTTATATGCGAAATTAATTTTAAATTTACTATGAGCTTTTCGGTGAAGGCAAACACCGTAAAGAAATCTGCATACAACTGCAAAACAAATTAATGATGTGTGTGAATTTCCCAACGATCATTGGGTCTGTATGGAAACTCGCATTGTGATAAGAGGCCTGTACTGTACCCAACAGTAACTCAACCTCAGTGCCCTGTGGCGGCGGTTTACATTCTGGTCGCTAGATGCGTAGGTCCCGGGATCGATTCCAAGTAGGATCAGTATAAGAAAAGAACTTTTCTAAATTGGTTTTCGTCTGGATGTTCTGGAAAGTACTCCAGAATGAATATCGTTGCTCTGATTCTCATAGTACAGAGGATTCCCTAGTTCGAGACCAGCCAATTGGTGTGCTTGTTTGGCATATTATTGTTAACTACGTTTTTCTACTCCTGTACTTTAATCTATCAATTATAATTTCCTAAACCATATCCATAAAGGCGCTCTTTTTAGTTTAGTCTATGATACTCGACACTGAACTGTAAATTTTCATTAACGTTCTGTACACAGAACTATAATGAGTTGCAAAAAAGAACGTATTTTTGCTAATTGCTGCCTCCTGATTGGTTAAATTGGCCTAAAAATCTCGCAAACACACCATAAATCGTTAAAAAAAAAATACTGATTAAACATATGTGTTACTTGGCAAGTTCTATTCTATTTCTTTGGTTTTTGTTTTGTACCGTTTGTTTGGCTTCCGTCTAAACATATGATGAGGTTGTAATACGGAACCTTTACCTACCCTAATCAACGGGTAAATATTTATTTAAAAAAAAACGCATTTGTTGTCATAGATTGTTAACAAAATATACATTAAATATTGGTTCTGTTTCATTATTTTATTTACTCGTAGAAATTGTATGCAATCATTACATAATTAGGTCTTAAAATCTCGTACGTACTATTTAGAACAATCGGCAAAACCTCGTGGTCTAAACACGATACCTGCATTTAAGAATCCTGATTATTGCATAAAATACTATTATTATTATTATTATCATGAACCATCGAGTATATAACCAGATGTAGAGATGAAATAATCCATCCCTAATGACAAATTAGAAAGTTGAAATAGTACAGCGCCAACAACTGACCTGTGTGTACGTCTCCGTATATTCCAAAAATATTCTGTATACTTATCGTAATAAAGACAATATCTCTAACAATGGGGGCTGTTCCATTCAGTGGTGTGGAAATAACAGCAAAACATCTAATTACAAAACAAACGGAATCACATTTCATCGGTAATTAAATATGTAATTTTTCGATTCACGTCCATTATAGCAAAGCTCAAGTTAAACTGGTCGATTTGAAGTGAAACAATTGACGACACCCGTCAATTGTTTCGAATTCGGGGTGGCTAATCGGAGCGCAGTTGTCACCGCAATGATTTGGCAGAATAGTTTTCAAACAAATTAAATGACATTTTGTCTTTATTTCTGGTTATATACTCGATGCCATGAACGCATGTTGTGATAGAAATGCATTGTCGCTAGAATAAGGTCGGCCTCACCTGCAGCCCTCCGAAGAGCCCGATGGAGTTAAGCGCATATCGCCCTATGACGGCCATGGAGGCCAGCTCCAGTACCGTTACGCCGTCTTCTGAGACGGCCAGCCAAACCATCGACAAGTCTGGCTGTTTTATCTGAAATTGAATTCAACAATATCACCATTCCTCCTCCTTAACCTTCTTTTATTACCAATAATAGCACAGATAATATAATACTATACTAGTACAGATACTCAATCTCATACAAACAAATGTCGCACTAGAATCTCCGCTTATTCGGAAGCTTATTTTGATTATTAACCCTGATCAACAGATGTTACCAAGTAAACCAGTGATGTGTGTGTAATAATATCAGAAAAGGCCAACAGATGGCAGCGCAATTATATTTTTGTCAAGGTTATTGCTCTTGTTCAGGCGTTCATTATTTATACAATAACATACAGACATATATCGAGATAGACGCCGCAAGTGTACGTACTCCGCGTGCCCAAAGTAAGTGAAATTCACTTAGTTGCCGCTGCTACACTTTAGAGCGCACTCGAAAGTTATCGTAGATAAACACCAGTCGAAAACGCGAAAAATGCATAATTGTGCCATTATAAACTGCAAAAGTACCATAACTGTGGGTAAACGAGTTAACAGGGGCGTTTCCTTCCAGGACTAAGTGATTTTGTAAACAGAAGATGCGTAATTTGTTTTAAAAATAATTATTTTGGTTTTGTATGAATTTCGAGTAAACAAATATGTAACAGAGTGTATGCCTCATGATTTGTAATACATTGCGGCTTTTACTTGGTGCGATATATTTGTGATCTTTTGTTAATACGCCATGAATATCGGACGAACGCACTTTTGGTGAACGCAGTTTCGTGGTACGGCCGCTTGTACATTCTTTGGCCAAATTTAACATTTAGTGATGTATACGTTAGGCAACACTGTTCTCGATTCTAATCGATTTTGAAAACAAAGGGACGAAAATTATTACGACCTTAGCAATATTATAAAAATATTCTATAACTCTTTTGTCGTATCGCTTAGTAACGTTTCTTTTTTTTTCAGTTTTGTAGTATCTATTATCAGCAGTATCTGTAATTTCGATAATTTTTGCAGCAGCGAATATGGTGAGCAAAGAATTACATACATCGTCGGATATGTAGTACGTGTAATACAAAAAAATATATAATGCAAAAAATTAACAGTGCCGTCTTTACAAAAACCTGGAGTTGGTCATACGTATGAGCTCGTTGCTTTCGAGGACGAAGGTGGTCTAGTTTATCCCACTTAATATGCTATCCAAGTATGCAGAGTAGCAGAGTTAGAAATCCGAAAAATAATAAACTAATCGCAAAAATATCACACGAGGCTGTCATTAAGTAAACCTCTTCTGATTAATAAGATTTTACTATATTTTCTCAGCAGTAACATTTTCATTTGTCTTGCCATTCATCAATTTGATCAATTACCAAAAGAAAATCATGTAGTAAAATTAATTAAGGCAGAACTAAATATGTACTAAAGTCAATGGGCCTGGATTTGATACTACCCATGCTAATAGGGAAAGAAAATGTCGTGAGTACTGTAATTTTTAAGTTTTTTATTGAATGTCACGATGTTTGATCACTAGACAATGATTTCTGTGAAATTACTCCACTAGTTTGTCATAATTATTTAATACAAAAGTTAAGAAAATTCCTACGGCAAAAAAGTCGTTAAAAACCAAAAACAAATAGTTGCAATAAGCACACAGAAAAATTCGTAAGGTCCGCTGGTTTGTTTTGTGGCTTAGTTGGCATATCGTCTGGCACAGTTTGCAGGAAGACGTTGGTTCGAATTCAGCCGGATCGAAAAATTTTTGTCTGGGTGTTCGATTTTCGTATCAAAAAATTATCGTGAGTACCGACAGTACTGTATTTACAGTACTGTATTAGTATTGATCTGGTTTTTACTACTGCTAGTCTGCAAGCACACAGCGCGGGGCGCAGTATCCATACAAAAACGAGTTGTTGAGTTTGTGTGAAAACTACGATGAGTGTTCTCAGTGTTTGTGTTCTTGTATGTTCTTGTACAAGGCTCACAATACTCACTCTAGCTTGGAATAGAGTAGCACCAAAGAAAGGCCACTTTCTGGTACAATTGAGGTAGATTCGCACGCAGTCCGCTGTGCTGCGGCCTCTTAAAGCTATCCACTTCGACCTTAGCTTCTCTTCCACGTCTCTGTTAAACAAATTCAATATCATAACAATCATTCCATCGGAATTTTCATCTACAAAGAAGTAAAAAAGTATGAAACTTTCTACCTACACCATTGGTAGAAAGTTATGACGGCATGTACAATTACCTTATAAAATCATTAGTACCATTTTAAGGAGTAAAACGAGAGGTATTTGTTTTGCAATCTATTTTTAACATACAAATGTATTATTTTACGCATGATAAGAACCTAGAATTACTGACAATGGGAATGACCTTCAACATTCAAAATTCAAGAAGCTTATTCCGCTAACATTTTTCAAACACAATAATAGAGTAACACAATTCGAAAAGTAAACTTTTTGAGAACCGCACAACATAAATTTAAAAAGATTAAGAATTTTTTTGTCATATCGAGTTCTCATCGAGTTTGATCTGTAAAGGGGCTGAACCGTTGATTCGTTTGTAAATAAAATAAACAAATATACGCGATTTATATCCGAAAACACAGTTCCATTTTTTTTTGTATCAAATAAAATATTATTAATAGTGACAGGACCAGCTAAATGGTATATTTGGTTGGTGTAAATTTGGTCAGTTTCCCGAAAATTTCACTTTTCTTACTTAGTATCTTCTTTGTTGGGGTTGGCTTTTGACAAATAATCGCCCCATATTCACCAACTCCGCTTTTATGGCCAGAATAAGCACTTCAGCTTTTGATGTTAAATTTATAGTCCTATATTCTGTACATTTCATAATATTGAATCAGGACACGTGTTAATCTACCCTAATAACCTTTGACCTTATACCTTCATTTTCATAATATGAAAATTCCGATATCTCCATTACTTTTGCGGTGCTTCCTCATTAGTCGCATTCCCAAACGGTTCAACTTGTAAAACTTTAAAATCAAAGAGAAGATAAAGAACAAAAGGCTCACCTTAACTCATCGTTGCTCATGCCCGCTCTGTACCTGTACGGGTAGAACCGATGGGCCAAAGGTTGGTTGTGCTGCGTGTTCGTGGCCGAGTAGTCGCCCATGTCGAGTTGGGCCATCAGAGCGCCCAACTCCGCCGCTAGCTCTCGAGTTACTGGAAACCTGCCTGCTACCACTGAAAGTAGATTTCAGACCATATTAATAAACAGCTTTTGAGTACACTATTTCGTGCGTATCGTCACTCCGATTTGGAGATACATTGCAATGGAATAGAAAAATATTTATTGCAACGCCACGATACATAGAAAAAGAAGAGATTACTACACAAAGAAAAGAGATTTCTTAGACAAACAAAACAAAATAGAAAGAATTAAAAGTAAAAAAATAAAAAAGTCCTAAAAAACAAAGTAAAATAAAACAGATAAAAAGCAATACGCTTTAGCGAGTAAAATTTGAACTGTCATTTGTGCGGGTGTGGTGTACGCAAAAGGACCTCACTTAGCTTAAGGCTCAATTTATATTGCGGTGGAACGGAAAGAAAGCGAACTTTTGCAACGGTATTGTACATAATAAACTTTACTTATTTATATTAACAATAGTGTAACGTTCAAACTAGATACGAGCCAAAATCTCCCACGAATGCGCGAGCATTCTCGAGCATGCGCGAGAATTCCGCGAAAGAGTTTAGCTGTGGCGCTGGTTTTCGTTCTCCTGTATTAACAGACTATAATCATTTTAATGGCGTCATTTCAAGTGACACCATTTCCGAGTGAGATTTTGAGCAGTAGCTCAAGTGCTGAATGATACTTATCAATAAGCGAATAATTCGACAACTTTCAAATTACGCTTAATCATTTGGTAATCGTTGATGTAAACTCGAGTAATATTTATTAATAAACTTGTTTTAGCACAGTCCATTTAACGTGCATTTAACTATCTGCACTTAGTTTACCATAATTGTAATGTCATCGAATATCCATAGTATACCAAACTTCAAGTCGATCCGTGACATCGGTCAGTCGACAAGTGAAAGTAAGTGGAATTACATCTATTTGCCAAGTTTCATTGCGATCGTTTACCGAAAAGTGCGCGAAAGCGGATTGACCCTCTAATTTATCACCCTTAGAGGTGGGATATTTTCTACAAATGTAAATGACACCATTTATACTGAGATACCCTCTTTCCAACAAAAAAGTATCATCATAATCGGTTCACAAACGCCGTAGTTATCGCGTAACATACATACAAAAAAAATACAGCCGAATTGAGAACCTACTCTTTTTTTAAGTCGATTAAAAATAAATATTCATCTTATGATTGAGACTCTAACTCGGAAAGGAGCTGATGATCTTTAATTAGATGAACAGGTGTCCGTCAAATGTAGCAACGAACCATCCCGATAACAGCCTATAAATTAAAAAAAAAGGCTGCTCTGAGAGCGGTCCACCTGTTTGGGAGTTACGTTACCACAGAGAAATACACAGACAAAAGCTACGGAGATATAATTCCTCTCTTTTGCGTCTGTGGATAAAAATAACATTTCCTAGGGATAGATAAAAAAAAAGTGTAGTGACATGGTGCTTCTCCTAGAATCCCAGCACATCCTGTACCCTACACCCTGACAGGAGGCGAGACCCTTCTGTTTGTATATGTTTCTTATCGTCAGTAAGTACACGAGAAGAACAATTACGATATCCTGTATGAGCAAAATTCTCTCACCTTGTTGATTAACTTGGTAGCAAAGCAGCAATCTCTCTTTATCGATTTCCGTACGAACAGAATTCTTAAAATACAGCCTATTTCTATACGTCAGTCGGATCACTCGTGAGTTTTCGAACTTCCCTGAGCCCTTTTCTCGCAGCGCCGTCTCCCATTTTGATATAACGTCGCACAGCTGAAAGTCGTAACACGAAATTCATTATTACTATAAAATACATAACATTTCATCTCATTCTTTTATTTTTTATTTTATTTATATTATGACGAACAAGTTGTGCGCCTAGTAGTGAGCGACACGCCTGTCCATAGCAGTTGCGTTGCTATTCAAGAGCTTTCTGAGAGATCTGAGGGGTACTGCCCCTGCGCTCGTTACCCTGATACACAACTTGACAAGTCCCAAGTGGCTGTAATTTCTCATCACCCTTGCCCTTTAAAACTGGAACGCTGTAATGCTCACATTCCTACCTGGCGGCTAAATAAGAAAGGTGGCAGTACTTCCCTGGACGAACTCTTTCACAAGGAGCTCTACTGCTATGTATATTCTAATAGTTTTTTAATAATTTGCATTATATTTTTTAAGTGATTATGAGAAGTATGTGTTCAACTATAATTGGCTTACACACTAGTCTCGTATTATTTTATTACAGTAATGTATGTAAATGGTAAGTGTATTGAACTGTTGCTGAACCAATAAATGAATAATAATATAAGAAGTGTATTCGAGCAATTTGCGGTGCGTGGTTCGATGACAGTTGCAAACCGCTGTTTAAAAAGCTGAACATATTACCTTTGCCATGCATGTACATTAGGGATATCTGCGTATTTGTCAACTCTCATCCTCAATATTTTAAAACTCGCGGTGGAGTCATTCAAAGGCAAACTAGAGCAAAAATTATGAATCTCTTATGCCAACCTCGTTGCCATAAAGTAATTTATAAGAATAACTGCTTCAACATGTGTATAATTATTTACAATAAATTACCAAACGAAATTAAATTGTTACAAGGACATACTTTTAAATTAAAATTGACAAAATGGCTTTTGACATTGCTTCTATAGTAATAAAGAATACTTACAATTTACAAATTCATTACATTAATTAGAAACTATAGAGACTCAAGAAACATTGAATCCCATTAATATTTGCACATCTGCTTGCAGGTTGAATACAATGTACCTAATTTTACTTAAGACCTTTGTAATTACTGTATTCTGGCAAATAAACGTATTCTATTCTATTCTAACATTTTAAGGAAGTTCAAATTAACAGCTATTTACTTAAATCATCCGATTACAGAAACATTGGATGTCCTACTTTCCCATGTTGTTCATGTTGTGTATACACTGGCAATCTAAGACCCACCTTTTTGTCAGGCTTAATATGATGCTCCAGATCCTTCTCAATGGGGTCATCGCTGAACAGCGCGAAGCCGGACTGCGCGGATTCTCTGCAGCCCAACTCTGTGCTGAGCGTTGACAGGAATTCCTCCACTGTGGTCGATCCGTCGAAGCTGATCACCTAAGGAAGCAATAAAACCCGTTGTAAATCTTATCTCTAGAAATCAACATATATATCAACTTTTCGTTTCGACGTATAAGAGTTGATAATAATATGGATTGTCTTGAAATTTGCATGCGTAAAAAGGTACGTTTTTCATGATATCAAACGACGGGACAAACAAATCACCGTTGTGCCACTCACAAGTTTTACATCATAAATAGTTGATAGCACCCTTACCTTTAAAACCTGAACGCAGTAAAGCTCACATTACTGCCTGGCGGCAGAAATAAGTAAAGTGGCAGTTCCCTAGACGAACTCTTTCACAAGGAGCTCGACTGCTACTAGCTTTGGTGGTTTTTGTCCACCGAAGCTAGTGAACAGTTACATTAAAGGTCAAGTTCCCGAGTATGACACATTCGAATCGAAACAACTGTGTCTCGAATGAGAAGCACCTAACTCCCAGTAGACTACCACCGTCTTGATACATCACATTCGTGTTTTTTAAAATCATATTAGGACTATTTTGACACGCGTGTGAATGTAGTTTCTTACCTGGTAAGTGTTATTCAACATGTGCACCGGTATAGCATGCGGCAAACAATGGTGGTAGGGGTTCTTCAACAGTATGGACAGTACTTCCATGCGGGAGGGTTTGTCCTCTCGTCCGCCGTTGCGAATTGTACGTTCTAAGGCACGCGAACAGTACGCCGCGTATTTGCCACATTCCGTCCTGAAATGTGAATAGTTTATATCAAAATCTGTTATTGTTCTTTTAACTTTATTATCCAGTTCCATTCATGTTAAAAAAGGAATAAACGTATATGAAAAATATCACTAAGTTCGTTATTATCACATACAAAGTTTTGTCACTTGAGGGTGCTTAAACAACAGTTTCTCAGCTAAAGGCCCTGTGTTATAATATCAGTGACTTTATTTCAGAAATTAAGCACTAACTACATCAAATACAAATGTTATTTAAAAAAATTTAAAGCAAATAACAAAACATAACAAAAATTAAAACATCAAAATTGAACATAAAAATAAATGGCTATAAAAATTCACAATGATTAATTATGTAATAGAAATGGCGACATCAGAGAGGGAGGGAGAAGTCAAATCTGTCTTGCTTCACAATATTATCCGGTCTAACATTATAACGTATTCAAACCTATGTAGATTTTACAATAAAATACTTACTTAGAATCGGAATGCCTGCTAAGATGTAGCTTCAGATACCAAAGCAATCTGTTATTTCTCGGCACGAACAAACTGACAGCGAGGGCCAGCAACTGCCAGCCTTGTACGAAACTGTATGTAGGAGGGTTGCTTTTGCAATCCACTGATAACAATGGCGCCTGAAATTTCACACTCGTTTACAATGCTTTGAATTATAGAGACAATCGTTGAAAGTATCACATGCCTGTGTACGTTACACTTTTTTGCCTTTCTCATATAATTTATGATTCTAAGTTATGATTTTGGGATTCGTGCAGTAAAATACATTTATTGGCTTCAGTTATTAGCAAACATTTGTTAACTACTCTATTGCATTAATTAAGGTGTTTCGAAGCAAGTGTATCAAATGGGGTAAGACATTGACAGCCAATTAAAGTTGTACGTTACTCGTATCCAAACCTCAGTGCTAATAAAATTATTCATTTGCAGAATTACAAAGATACTAGAGTTTGAAATTATCAAGATATATTATTTTCTTTAATAATTCTCCGATATGCTAGTCTCAAATTACAATTTATAGGTTGATCTGGTATCAACGGAATTCACTCTGGGGCACTTCCCTGAACACCAGAACCAATTTAGAAAAGCTGTCGTCGAGATAGCCCTACTGGAGATGTGTCTTCAACTCTTCTGTATTAAGTAAAACTATCTTTGATGATGCCGTCAAAAGTGTCCCAGACCCTGCACTTGATTGATTAGGGCTTAATAGTGTTTTCAGTGCCGTTAGAAGATATTTTAATGGTAAAGTGAAATGAGCAATCGCACTTAAGGGAGTTACCAGTTATTAACGCAGTATCGGCTTGAGCCGATCACAAAAAGCTGATGTCGATGCAATAAGAGCGAAAAAGATATTGCACGTTTCGCTTTCGTTCATAATGCCGACGCGAAACTCACTACGACTTTTTCTCTCTTATTACAAGAACTTAAAGGTTTTATGACCAGCGTAATGCGATCCGTGTCAAGAATTATGGTGACGACGTCCCTAAGATATATTTTATTACAAAAGAAGTTCAATTTAAACAGTTTTTTAACACCGGTCTTGCAGTCGACGTATTTGTATTGATGCATCATAGTGGAAATTACTAAAATTTGGTCACGAATAGAGATAGAGCTTTTATAAAAAAAAACAAGACCGCGACTTACCACTTTACGATGTTAGAAATCTTTTAATATGTTTAAAAAAGTATAACTCCTACATCCTACACTCTCACTATATTTACAGAAATTACATTTAAACCAGGGTTCGCAATGACAATTATCTTAATAAATATGCCTTTATTAGATAGTTATATTTTTAAATAGGAAATAAAACTATTTTTCTGGATTTAAATCGCTTATATTTGTTTTTTCAAATAAACCGACGTTTCGGGCCCTTTACAGGTCCCATTGTCACGGTTGACTGAAGTGGTACAGTCTTCAGCCAGTTATGTCTAATATTAACCTATTTTTTCACTTTCATAGTGAAAAAAGGCGTGCATCTATCAAAACCTATTTCAAGTCCCTGAGGAAGATTTCTCAATACTCATAGAAGGACTTCTATGTGTAACAATCGCGAAAACCTAAGAACTCGATATATTTTTTTTAAATTAATTGGATTGTTCCAATTAATTTAAAATGTATGTAATGTATGTCGTGCCATGTTTTTGTGACATCATATGTATATTTGTTTTTGCGTACTTGATATATTGGGCAAACAATCACCATGTGTAGATGGTATGTGTGGCAAAGTATTTCCCTTGTTTGCCTGTTCGACAAATACAGCAAACACCACGGGTTACCGCGTGCTGGCTGGTATCTCGAGCCAAATAGGCAAATACGCAAGTAAACCGTCCACACTATGGTCATATATTATACAGTCATATTTGTCAGTGTTTATACGTTTGTCTGTACGTCAAATATTTCTCCAAGTACATCAAACACCCAATAGAGAATACAAGTATCCACGTAAAGTGCCACCACTAGTGATGTAAGTAAATCTGTCAAATATCAGTCTCAAAAAAGTACAAACGAAATCGTTTCCCAAAGATTTTTCTTCGTGTTTATTTTGTTTTCTCACTATTTGTCATTTTTAGTCAAAAATTAAAGAGACAAAACTATGACTTAGCATGGATAACTATTGGATACTTATAATGATAATTATCAATACATATCTTGATAATTTCGAACCCTGATTTAAACTGAGCTTATAAACTCGATGATGTTCGTCAGGAGATTGTAGTGAGGTGCTCTGAGGTTTAAAGACGTCAAGTAACAATTTATAGGATCGAGTTCCACGTAGAAAGAGTAGATCTGTACCAGTAATTGAAGATCATAACAAGTGCTTTCGTGTTTCTTTGTTTTGTATGACGCAGTACGCTGTGGGGTCCCTATTTTGAAATTCAATATTTATTCACCAAAACTGAACTGATGAACTTTGTATTTGAAACAATACATTCATTGATTCTGTAACAAAGGTGTAAATAAAAACACTTTTCGCTTTTGCTCGAATGCAGCCACTGCCAAATCAGATGAATATACTAACCATAAAATTTAACTTAAGATTTTTATTAATCTGGTTTAATTTGTTTCTAGTTTATGTTTAGTTAAGTAAATTCTATTAGAGTATAAAAGTAACTGGGGTCCAAATGAGTCAAAAACTGCCTAAACTTTCTGGAATATTGCCTAATTTTAAAGAGAATAGTCCACTGACAAATTGGAAATGTTGTGAGACAAAATTCAGTTCAAGGTCTTGTTCTAAACTGTTGTGTTCCCAATTTGTTATAGTCGGGATTTAGGTTTATTTATGTTTTACAACACAATGACGCAAATTAATATACCATTGACGCCATATTGGATCCTTCATAAAATATGTAGCCTACCTATGACACAAATCTAACGATACAACAGCGAGACTGATATATCGACTGTGAAATGGCAACCGGTACTATCTCAATTTTCTAAAGATTTCACTTTTTAATACCATTTATCTCTGCATCATCATCAACGCATTTACTCCGCAGCGTTTTTTTAATTCCATTGTTTTTAATAACAGGTGTAATAAAAATATTTAAAAACTATGTACGTATTTTTATTTAATAAACCAGATTCTATACATATAAGTGACACAAACAAGGTTTTTCTTCATTCTGTAAAGTTGTCAAAATGGAGAGTACCGGTTACCAGTTCACAGTCGATATGTTGAAGTTGGCTAAATAGTCTCTGTGACGGAACCGATGAACTTACACGTATATGCTGTTTTGCCGTAGTGGAGTGAAAAATAACGCATTTGGAAGCGGAATTGAAGCGTTTTAGAGATTTCGGATATTCTTGGAAATTATAAAGTGTAGAAAGGAAGTCCTAATTGTGACCTGAAGGCTTAGTATCGCGTGTAACTGTCGTCGGACCTATTTCACCTAGTAAACGTTACCTGTATCGAGCTCGGTGAGCCAGCCTGGGGCGGCGCGTCGCTCTTGTTATCCCCTCCGACGGACGAGCCGCTCGTGTCGCACGTAAACAGCGATTGTGTCGCGCACAGTAGCAGTTGCTGTACAAATGAAATGTTGGTGTTCTTGCTGTTTGGGGGGCCTCATCTAAACTCTTTGGGGGAACTTACTATAAACATCTATTGGGTTGTTTTCTTTACTTATTGCTCATTGACACCTGACGAACTGCAGTGTTCTGAACACCTAAATCATTTACACACACAGGTACTTGAAACGTTGTGTGGTCCGTATTTCTTGCAAGGTATTCGTGTATTGTTAATATGTATAAATAGATACTTATAATAAAGAAACTTTAGAAGTTACAATGAGTAATATGTATTGAGTAAGTACTAAAAATACGATTGCAGCACGTGGAGGGCTTTATGTTTTGTTTGTTGATCACGAAATGATAATCTATTGTGTTAATTTAATCAGGAATCAGAGAAGGTATGTGTGGATAGCACAATAAGACGAGTAGGGTAACTACAATACAATATACCATCGAGGATTATATGTGTGATTATATTGCGCGGGTCGTCACACGCGCCATTCATGGAATTGAAGCGTTCGCGCGGTTTTTAATAAATGACATCAAACAGTAGACGTGTTTATTATTGAGTTTATGGTGTCTTGAAAAGGGTGACTCAAATTCAGAATGGATCATATTAATAATAATGACTAGTAACAATAATACTCTATGGTAGCAGTACAGCTCCTTGTGAAAGGGTTCGTCTAGCATTACTGCGTTTCGGTTTGGAAGGGTAAGAGTCAAATTAAAGGTACACGAGACTTGTCAACTTCCGTCTCAGGGTGACTTGTTCGTCCCGTCACTTGGTAATATAAAAAAAAACTCTCATATCATATAGATATCAATCCGGATAAAAAAAATATATAAACACGTGACTACTGCATTTGACATAGGTTATTTCAATGTAGCAGTACAATACTATGATAAATACGTTAGATTTTTTTTTTCAATTATATTTAAAACCTGTAGTTATGTCTAAAATAATATTGTGACAACCTTACGATCCGAGCGATGTGAAGCCATTGATACGCCGAACAGGTGGGAGTTGCCCTATTTGTCTTATTATTATACTATGGTATGTGAAACAATTTGTCGTAGTCGTGTGTCTGTTCCTGGCATTATGTTGTACCACTGTGTGACAAAATAGTATTCTGTACAGGCCAATAGATGGCGCTTATAATAAATGTGTTTTTATTTTATTGAACAGTATGTTAGTGGCTGTGCATTATGCCGATGTGTTTGTGCGATTAGTTGTTGTACCCATGTTAACCAGACCTAAGATGACACAAGATACGTCAGTAAAGGAATGCGCGGTGGGGAGCAAATTTTAATGTATTCAATTAACAGTTAATTTTAAACAAAAGTGACTAAAAATGAGGTTTGTTTAACTGCACAATATTTTAGAGAATGCGAATGAAATAAATAAAACTGAATGTAACTAAAAAGGAAATTAAATTTTATTTTATTACTTGATATACATTTTTAATGTATTAAGTATTTATAACAACAAATGAATGAATAATAAAGAAATTTAATAATGAAACCTCTTCGTTGTTCGAAGGCTTAGGTTCTATAAAAAATATTTCGGAAATGTCTGAAACACGTGTAAATACTACATTCACTTCCTGTATTTAATAATATTATGCAGTTAGCACAATCACAATTATATCTTTCTAACACCTAAATACTTACCTTAGTTTTGGATAAATGCGAGTAAATGTCACTACATTTAAACGTAGGAATCAGACTAAAACTTGCATTCTGTACGAACATAGAAGGGGACAACAGTGCAAGGTCTAGCTAATAGAACATATGGACAATAGATAAACAAAAAAAATATCATTCCCTATGTCTAGCAGGGAATTGGAGGGGCATTCGTGGGAGAAAAATTGAGAAAAACAAAATCGGGGATAATTTACACCAACATTCCATTTGAAAGATTGCAACGAAACGACATTTCTTATTTGTTGTGGCAACATTTTTTTTGGCGACACCAATTTACGGGAGCAACGATGAAATGTTTTTTATTTTCTCATATAAATTGTGTAATACAGGAAGAAATTTTATTTTTATACGTGCCTTAGAACAGGTTTTGTTTGAGTGTTCTTTATAACTATAAACAGAACTCTCCATGACACACGATTTATTATTTAAATACTGTAACGAATCAAATGTCTTGTAAAATCATAAAATATTGTAACGAATACACTTTTTTAGCTGCAAATTTCTTTCATAGTTGCTCTTTTGTACCTCAAGGAACTTTAAAGGTAGTAATATGTTTTTGTTCATAGAAATATTGCTCAATGTTGCCAAAACCAGACGATCAAGTTGGAATACAACTTCTGTGTTTTTTGTGTTCAAATATTCTAGAAGAATTTTGCATAATCCCAAGAAGCCAATAAATTATAATTTTCACATACACAATTCCAAATTGATCAACCACAAAACTCAAGCATTGTTTCAATTATTATTTTATTGCAACACACAAAGCTTACAGATGCTACGTTAATGGTTTGTTAGTGTATATTCATAAAAGCAAATTACTTTTAAAGCTACAAATAGCTACTAGAGATGTAACTGTTTTGTATTAGGGAAATCATTGGAAATTTCTACTTCAGAAACAGCGTTTCTGTATTTAAATTTTTTTATAAGAAATACTGTCTGTTTAATAACGTTATTGTGAAATCTACAGTGACGCAAACCACCCGTGAATAAACTGGTATGATGGTAGTAAAGTGGTAGATACGACATATGAGAAAAGCAGAGAAGCGCAGAGCTTGGAAGCCAAAAAGGCATTGCTGATAACGAAGCAAATATAATCCTATTTAACAATTTCACTTTTTGTGAAGTTTCTTATATAATTGATTGTAGAAACTGGGTTTCTTTACATTTTTTTTTGTTAATATCGCAAGCCATGCTATTTCTATTTAATATCATATGTATTTGCGTATAGTTTTTATGCTAACGTTGACTAGTGTGGGAACGATTCTTTTGTGCTATGTGGACGGTTCCTTTGTATAATCAATTGTCACTTTCTACGAATTATTTAATATTATTATTTATATTACTTGACCTACTCAACGTTATGATGAAAACTATTCGCAATAATGGCAAACAAAAAATATAAAGTATTGGAATGCTCCTACTTTTTCACACGTTACACATTTGAATTAAACTCCCATTAAAATATCAATAATATCACTGTCACAAGTTACAGATAAACTAACGCGAAATTATTTATTAGGTTAGGAGCATTCCATTTTTAAGGCCGGGACCGTACTGTGGTTTGGCAATCTAAAAAGACGTTGACTACTTTCCAATTTAAAATATATTTACACAATTCAAATATATTCACGCCTTTCCTGACGTTCGACATTAATGAACGTGGCTTTAATAAATTCTTCCTAATTCTAGGCGAATCGTAAAATGCGCACTTCGAAAGACACCGTGAAGTGTGCGAAGACTGCCTCGCCCAGTGCCCGGCCAGTAAAGAAAAGGACTTACATTCTTAAGCTTGGCAGCTTTAAGGTTTAGCTTTGCGTGGCGGCGCGGCGTCGTCGGGGTTACCTGCACGCCGTGCTTGGAGTGCGTGTGCGCCGTGGTCTGCTTGGCCAGGCAGGAGACCAGCTCGTCCTGCAGCTCCGTCACCTCCAGGCACTGCTGCAGCGCGTTCTGCGCCAGCACCACGTGGTAGTCGATGCCCGCGTGCTCCACCGCCACCGACATGAACAGCTGCACGCACTGCAATTGCAATGCCGACATCGCTGTACCCGCGTCCACTTCAATACCTTTTTAATGTACTACAGTCCCACAATTTTAAGATTGAGTGGAAAAACAATAACATAAGGATGGAGTGTTCCGGACCGTCTAGTCGACAAAGGCACGAACGATGAGGGTGAAGCTAAGTTGAAAAGTTCCTGCACACACTCCGAAATGTATCCCATAGAAACAATCCTGAGCTCATTATGGTTTACGTCATACTCAATATACGTTCGAGATCCTGTGTTTATTTACCTGTGTCTTTTCGAATCATCACTTCAGGTGACTAACGGGATGAAGAAGGAAATTTGAATTTGCATATTAGACAAAATTTACAACGTTCTTAAAAAACACGTGAAGTCTTCAAGCCTCGTTAGACTGGCTTGGTGGACTACGAACTAAATCATGTAATACTTTTTATTGTACAAACCTTAAACAGTTTTAATGCCTCCGCTTGCAAAGCCTCCGAGTTCAAGGACGTCAGCGGCGAATTGATGTTTTCCTTTGAATACAATAAGGTGGGATGTCTCCATAGAACACAATCTGCAATGACACAAAGACAATATATAAGTAACATTATATTTCAGAGTTACGAGAAGAAAGCTAAACCGGAGCAAATTTATATAAATATACACTTAGCTACAATTTAAGGTATACAACTACACTTTTCAAAACTGCCATTTTATGTACTGTAATAATGGATGTAATATTGCATACAATGATATGAAATATCGATTCTACAGTATGATTAATTGTCCAAAATCGACTTCAAGGCAACTGCAGTAAAAAAATATTGGTGCCAAATAAGTGTACAAAAATTCCTTAAGCATTGTTCTGAAAGAATTATTATCTGCAAGGTCTATTCCGTAAATGTTTTTCCTGTTGCTTATGTATTTTGGTTATTTATAAAATGACAGAAACAAACACCAAATTAGACCGGTTCAAATAATCAAGTAAAAACCGCACCGGCCACAGTCACAATTTAACAAAGTGATTGGAAGATAATCAATGTAACACTCACTGGGATCTCCATCGGTCTCCATAAGCTTCTGAATAAGCTGTTCAAAGTGCGTACCCTGGCTCAGGCCACCTCCACTCACGACTGTCAAATGGTACAACCACGAGTCTTTGTCGGCTTTGCTCTCGAACAGAAGGTACGTTGGCCCCTGCGAATGTTTTAAATCCTCAGATATTTTGATTTTATTCCCTGCAGAGGAGATAAGTTATGCGATTTCAGGCCCTGTCCGGAAATAATAAAGAATCGGATTTGAAGCGCGAATTTTGAACCGCATTTTAACATGTCACGACAAATCTTAAAACGAAGAAAGTGGATCTGGTCAGCTAACCTTGCGACTGCTGTTCTAAAATCGTTATCTGTTTATGTTGTATTGTCTAAGCGGTTATAAGTGATGTGATTGGCTGCCTAATTTCCTATTTTATGTTAGGGCCGGATTAAGGGTTTTTAGGGACTATTATAATTTGAGTACTTGACGCATGTTGTAGAACGTGTTTACTTAATTTAGTTATGTTTATTTAAGTTAGTCTTATCTTATGACGCAGGCAATATGAGTTGAACTCCTGACAGGGTCATTTAGAAAACTTTATATTTCTTAAGTTGTTGTACGTAGTTTATGACAACGCATAGTTTAGAAAGAACATGTGTCCTGAAGATTCTATGAGAGGTGCATTTTTTCGGTAAATGTAAATATTGGGTCGTCAAACACGGAGTTAGGGGTGTTAATTACTCTCAAATTAATGCAATAAAATATCCGCATAATTAATCATCATTCACATGATGACTGATCAAAGAAAGTGACTGATGGGGTGCTGATCAACGACGGAGGTCAACGACCTATTAAATTACAAAGTTTTTTGCCCTGAGTACCTCCCGGTAATTGCCTCCTAACAGCTGTGTTTTATGATGTAGGATTGACAATACAGACTTTTCAAGCAAATCTTTATCATTGAATAACTCTGAAACTATTACACTTAGAGTAAAAAATCTTAAATTTCAATACTATTAAGTACATATTTAAGACTTCACAGTTTTCAGCTTTGTCAGTCGTTCTGTTCCACCCTGTATAAATGTTCTCTAGTGTATATTTGTTATCTAGTGTGACGTGTAGATTTTATAAATATATTAATAAAATTATTAAAAAAACAACTTGGAAATAAAGAATTCCTCTTGTTTTTTGTTGTAACGATAATATGACAGACTACAGATCTTTCGACTACTCTGGCGCGTGTACACGCTAAGAAATTCGATTTGTTGCAGACAAGAAACTGATGAATATGTACAACGTTACGAATGCTTTCCGACATGTGTGTAGGTTCTTCCAGGTAAATGTCCTTTTACTACCGACTGTGGGAAGAAATATGTTGACTACTTAGCAAAAAAAAAATGGTGATTGCATATTAAATGTATAGAAAAATTTATACAAGAAGATACAAAAGAATTTACTCGATTCATCAAATTTTTGCGTGAGTCGAGTCTTGGGTAGACAAGATTTTTTATCTTGTCCGGCGCCGAAGCAGTGTACAGTTCGCGTGTAGAGACGACACGAATTCTTGCATAGACCCGGCGACTTTTCTTAGCGTGGACATGTGTCCTTAGGCGTTACTCTGCTGTGTATACTATCTCATTTTACTATCTTTTCTATTTTACAATTTTTCTAAAATAATTCCTTCAAACGCTTAAACAAAACTACATGAAAAAACCCGCTATATTTTAACTGCCTCCGTGGCCGAACGGTTACCATACCGGACTGCCACGCAGAGGTCCCCGGGTTCGATTCCCGGGCCGGGAGAAATATTTGTATGGCCTACATTTATTTCTCTCGTGAGTTTGGGTGTAATTTGTGGTTGTCTATGTGTGTGTCCATGGCACCCGCGACACAGGGTTTCCCTAGTGCGGGGCTATGTTGAGTGTGTGCGTTATTATTATTATTATTATTATTATTATTATTATAATGTGCTATATTCAAAATGGTAAGAATAAAAAAAACTTCCTGAAGTGTCAAGGTCATCAAACCACGATGAGCCAGACATGAATAAGGTTCTACAAATCCTGTAGGTGCCTGGAAGAGGCGAACTACGCGTCGGATATAGTTTTGATGGTGGTGTTTGTGGTTGTAGTTGCGATTGTGCTATTAATTTTATGTAAAGGTGGATGGGAAAATTAAATACATGACGGGTTTTGCGGAGCAGCAATAGTACATTATGTATTAAGGACGGACGGTAAATAGGAAATTACTACCGAGGATTTATTAGTTTTAATTTTTTTATCGTCTGTGATACATACAATGCTTTTCCATCACTTTTGCGAGGAAATAAATACTTATAAACTTATAAATAAATAGTTAATACAACTAGAATTTTGTAAAAAGCTAACACGCATACAGCCATGATGGATGGCTTTATTTGGGTTATTACAGTCAAGTTAGCCATCATGCATTCATACTATTTACGAGCAAGTGTGATGAAAAGTTATTTACTTCCATTTTTAGAAACAGTTGTGATATTTTGTACAATGTTATTTGTCAATATCGGGGGAACGGCGAGGGGGCAGCGAGAGCAAATGAATAGAAGAGAACGGCAACTGACCCCCGTTACCTGATGCTGCGGGTAGATGGCGACGGTGAGGTGGTTCCTGGCGTCGTCGTTCTTCTCCTCGGAGTCGGAGTCCGACACGTGCTCCACGTCGTCCACGCGCGCGTCGCGCATGTTGATCTGCCCCAGCGGGTTCTGCGAACGGTACAACTGCTACAGTGCCGTCCAGGTGGGCGCTGCTATACTTTACCTTATCTGCCGGTAAGCTGCATCTGGTTTAGGAGGGTTCAGGGTCCTGGTGAAACTACATGTTTTAACTGCCTCTGTGGCGGAACGGTTCCCATGCTGGTCTGCCACGCAAAGATCCCGCGTCCGATTCCCGGGCCGGTAGAAATATTTGTATGGCCTACATTTATTTCTCTCGTGGGTTTGGGTGTAATTTGTGATTGTTTCCCTAGTACGGGGCTATGAGTGTGTGCTTTATTATTAATAGGCACTTGGGACTTGTCAACTTTGTCTCAGAGTGACGGGCGTAGTGGCAGCGACTTGTTCGTCTAAGTATTTGGCAATCATAAAAAGTATTTTTTTGTATAGAAGGGACGTGAGGGATATCAAAGAGTGGCAGAGGAAAGTCTGTAGGGGTATGCGTGAAGGTCTATCAAAGGAATCAGATAATCCTGTTAGTTGAAACCAAATGGATCGATATATAATGGGAACTCCTAAAAAGTGAATTGGAGTTAGAAGATGTATATGAACTGCCTCCGTGGACGAACTGTTACCACGCTGGTCTGCCACGCAGAGGCCCCGAGTTCGACTCCCGAGCCGGGAGAAATATTTGTATAGCCTGCATTTATTTCTCCGTGACTTTAGGTGTAATTTGTAGTTGTCTGTGTGTGATAGTACGGGGCTATGAAAGTGTGCGTTATAATTATTGCTGTGAAGAGAAATGATACCTCATTCTGTCAATATTATTAAGTGCCTACAAGATATGAACAACAACTACTACAAGAACAATGTACAGTACCTGGTCTCCCGGCGACTTGAAGTAAAGGAACATCTTCCCGATGAGCACGCACCAGCTCTTCTTGGCATGCCCGTTCTTCACCTTGGTCAGCCAGCCCTGGATGGTCGGTTTGTTGTCTTCTTTGCTCAACAGAAGCTTGGTCGCGTTTCGCCTTTGAACATTCTGGAAAGTGCCGATCTTATTGTTAACAGATTTAGTATCGGACAATTAAATGTATTCCTAGTGGAAAGTGACAATGGTATTCAGACTCTTTTTGCATCGGGTATTATAGAACCATGACATTTACACAATGAATTCTAATTCCAATTAGGCTAGTGTGAGAGCTGACTAGGTCGGAGCAAGTTGGTTCCTGATTTGGTTGGCTTCATTACCTGCAACACTCTGATCCAATCTTCCATAGTGGCAATGCTATCAGCTGTCAGGTAGTAAGTCTTGGTTCCCGTGAAGATTTCAAAGGTAGCTGCTCCTTCGTTCCGCGATATCTTGCAGGCTTCGCCCAAGCCGATTTGACCTTGTGGTTTACGGTTCACTTCAGATTGTGATTTCCAGTATGAAAGAGTACCGTTTTTGAGGACGAACCTGAAAGAAGTCATAAGCGGAATAATCGATTGTTATATAAGGTAGGAAGGTTGGTTACTGTAAAAAAATTGTCACATAGTTTGCATGTGAAGCTAGTCATTACGTTTGTAGGAATATAACACGTTTTCTGTTTTGAAATATATGGTTTATATATATTATAGTGCGTAATGTTTGTCAAATAATTGTTACTATTCATATTTATATATAGGGTATTTTTTTCGATTTAAAGTACGAGGAATAGCGAAGAGTCATGGGGTTGTTGACAAAAACTAAAAGTATTGAGTTTTTAAATACCCATTTCTCCAGTCGATAATAAATAATTAACCTGTACGACAAAGAAAAAATAAATACGACATGTCTTTTAACAGTTTTACGTCAGCGTTGGGTTTCTGTAATTTAAGCACGCTTGCCTAAGCATGTTGATTCTTTTTAAATAAAGATTAGAAGCCAAAAGGTCTTTGTATAATTGAAACAAAACAAAACATGAACTGCATTCCGCGACGCACCAGCGCTTGCGCCAGGTCTTGAGCTTGCCGCCCAGCTTGGCCAGGTGGCCGCTCTTCTCCAGCGCGTCGTGGCGGCGCGGCGAGTCGGCGGCGGGCGCGCGGGCCAGCGCCAGCGACGGCGCCGACTCGCACGACACGGCGTCGGGCGGGATGGCGTAGTCGTCCGACATGCCCGACTCGAACGACGTGTCTGCGCAGGCAAGCGGCGTTTCGTGGTGACACGGCGACGTATATTCAAAACTGCCTCGGAAATCAGGTGGGGAACACTAGTCCGCAAATGCAAGATTACTCTCGCTTTCAGTTGGTTAACGTTCGTATCACAGCTTTCTGGTTTTGAAGGGCAAGGGTGTTGTGCAGCTGTAGGCGCTTGGAACTTGTCAATGTTTCAGGGTGGCAGGCACAGTAGCCCTCAAATTTTTGCCATTTAAAGCTACGTCAGAGAAAGTTTTTTTTCCATGTAATAAGAGCGAAAAGGACATTGTGCGTTTCATGTCGGCGATCAGAGCGGAAGCGAAACACACGACGGCCTTTTCGCTCCTAGGCCGCAAATTAGGAACGATGGTGTGCAAAGCGTCAAGGTTTGTGCGTACACTGCACGCAAACGTGTGTTTTGTGTTAGATATATCCAACACAAGACACAATGTACGCGCAAACCTTGACCCCGCTGAACGCACCACTGTTGCAAATTTGTGGCCTTATAGTATGGACATAAAGGTTTTTCTGACGCGCTCAATACGATTCCGTGTCAACCAATGTGGTGACTTCCCAATGTGCAATATCTAAAATGCCTTATTACATGACCCTTACAAAAGAATAAAGAAAATAAATATAAACAAGTAAATTAAAAATGCACATAGCACACAACTACACCAAACACTACATCATCAGATTAGCGGAATTAACACCAGGAGCAGTAACTACCTAGATCTCCCAGACCAGAAAATATTTTAAAAAGTTCGTTTTCTAAATTAGCATTACAAAAAAATAAATAAGTCAATAGGACCTATAGGGCTGGCCTTACCTCTAGTCTTACTCTGTTTACTAGGCGATCCACTGCTCGACCTTTTCGCGGGACTCAAACTGGAACTCGTTTTGACGCTCTTCGAAGGACTGCTAGCACTCAACGAGGTATCGGATGAACTGCACTGGCCGTTGCCAGTGCTGGTCAGGACTAGACCGTGAGAGGTTTGTTGTATGGAGACAGGAAGGATGCTCGTAAGATTTACGTTGTTGATTGGCATGTTTGAGCTCCCACCTGCAGGTCGTTTTAAATGTTATGTTATGTAGAAGATATGATATTATGAAAAGCCTTTTCAGTGCCATTCTCTTACAAGTATTGTCAAAAGATTTGTTTTTTAATTGTAAAATAGACGAACGCAAATCTCACCAATTTTCTAGTAAATGACTATTCACTGCCGCTTGAATAGCTTGAATGCCTATGCACTCTTGCATGGCTCCAAATGTTATTGTAATATACACGGTTATACCCGTTAAAAGTAAAAACACAATGAAGCGCGTGCCCATCTCAAGCCTCCAAATTTATTAAAAACAAGGAAAGCTTTGCACACCAAATAACAGTAAAAACGACTTACTGAAGACAGGATTGTGATGCGGAGTGTTATGAACGGTCACTCCCATGGACTCTTCGCCGTCTGAGGAATCATCTGACGAGTCTCCCGTGAACGGCATAGACCGAATTTGACTAGCGCGCTGGAAACAATGTAAAATATTACACAAAGTAATTAAATATTTAATATTTGCACTAGCAAATTTTGTCATAAAAGGACGTAACTTAATAGTAAGATTCACAAAATATCATATAATGTTGTGATGTAAATAATTCATTTCCGTCGTAATGGTAAATTACATCCATTAGTGCTGAAAGAACGACAATTTCAATTTTCATCAAAAGCTCTTTTTAAGCCATAGAACATAAGACTGATTTTTATCGAATGTAAAAATTTTTGCGATCCACAAGGTCATGTTGAAGTTGACTAAATTAAGAAAGTCCTTTAGAACTATGACATAGGGCTGTCCAGCTAATGACATAATATGTACTAATTTAAAGGGTAAGTATTTTATTACAATATCGTACCCCTTTGACAGTGGCGTAAACTGGGACGGATATGTCCTGGTAGCTGGTTGACTCGTGCATAGGCCTGGGGCACGGCGGTGGACTCAGTTCTTCTTCTACAGATTGCTGAAGGCCGTCGTCTGCCACCTAGTGAGCAAAATTCAGATAAGTGCTGGATGCCAATGTAGTCTGATTGCAAGAATGCATTTCATGCTGCAGTGTTTAACTTTCACATGGTCTACTTTAAGTGCAGTTTCGCTGATATTCTCACACACGTATGTGGAAATGTTCACAACTCCTTTTAGGCCAACGTAGTGGACAACGGCCTAAAGTGTGCACTCACAGGTGATCTGGGCCCCAAATTTGCTAAGTTTAAATCAAGAAGTGGTCAACCGCCTGTGTGAAATAAGTTCAAAATGGCGAATTCAAAATGGCGGCCGAAGAAAAACTTGCTTTGATCCGGCTGAAAATTGACAAGTGGAGGTCTTTAGATGTCCTTAATCATAATCTGTTAAAAGTTAAGAGTTTGTCAGTGGCTGGCCACCAAGCTGCTATTCAACTGCCATTGCATTTTTTTGGTATTCCGCTCTTCAATGGCGAGTCGAAGGCGATATTGTACTAATATTATAATAATTTAAATAATTTGAAGACTAAATTGCTGGTTGAACGAGATAAAAATTTAGATATGCGTAGTAATTTCCATGACACTTTTAGTAAGTAACATAGTAGTTAGTAATTGAATGACTGAATATCATCAGTGCCATTCCATTGACACTCTATTTAGATTCAACTACCATTGCAACTAGATTTTAGCAGAATAACAAATATTATCAAAAGTGGAACATACTTTCAGTGGAATTATAAGTTTTTTTTTTTAAATAATACCAAACTTGGGGTCCAGATAATATACCCACGAGTTGGATGTACATATCTACTGTATTCCTATTACAATAGTGTAACTCAAAATGTCTCAAACTCAAACCATTTTTGAACTTAAAATTTGATTCTCTACGCGTCAATTAAATGTGTTTAGAATATTGTAAGAAATAACAAAAATACATAGTTGCCGTAACTCACTGTTAGTTATGATCGGAATTTGACAAGTGAGTACATTATTACTGAAAGATGATCTCTTTTTCGCGATAAATTACTTGATAAATAATGAAATTCATGTAAATTAATCATTTATAACAATATAAAACTCTCTTAGGTTTTCGCGATTGTTATACATAGGAATTGAACTATTTTTTTGGATTTAAATCGCGTATATTTGTTTTTTTTCAAACAAACCAGTCAGCAGTCAACCGTGACCATGGAACCTTTAAAGGGCCCGAACGTCGGTTTGTTTGAAAAAACAAACATACGTGATTTAAATAAAATAATAAATAATAAATAAAAATAATAAAAAAATCCGGAAAAATAGTTTCATTTCCTATTATAAAACTTATCAATTTAAGAGATCAAATCAGCTTAAAACTAGAAATTGAAATCTTTTCCAACAATATCTACTAAACTCAAAACGAGACAAACATTTTGTCAGCTACGTTCCGGACAAATTAGTCCTTAGTTAAAAATATGAAATCATGTTTTACCTTTTATTGTTAGATACATTTGACAAGTAGGAAATTGTTTAGATGTCTGCAATAAATTTGAAATTACTTATATATAATTTCAAATTTCGATTCCTCGTACGTAAAGTATCGTATGTCGAAATTGCCAAGTTTACAGGGGAACGTTAAGTTTTTAATAAACTGAAATAAGTGTAACACGTGACTTTCGCATAGAAGTGCTAAATTAAATTGTAAAATGACTATCTAACCGATACCTAGTATTTCCAGTACTCTGTGTGAGTTTTGCCGGATAAAACTGAGAAATGCTAAAGTCACACGGTACGATCATTTCAATGAATTGAAAAGTTTAAAACGCTCCCCTGTAAACTTGGCAACGACATACGACACTTCACGCGGCTGACAGTCCTCAAACAAGCGAGGCCCGAAGGCCCGCCCCGGCCGGCAGCCGTGCTCGACTCACCCGGTAGATCTTGGCCTCCCAGCTGGGGAAGCGGTGCAGCGGCGGCGTGGGCGGGCGCGGCTGCTCCGACGCCGAGCTGTCGCCCGTGGACGAGCCGCCCGCGCTGCGGCGCGCGCCCGCCGCCGCGCCCGCGCCCGCGCCCTGCCACGCCGGCGTGCGCTCTGGGGGTGCAAGTGGCGTCAAGGGACAGTCGCACTACCACCGAGCTTTGAACCACAAACGTAACTTGACAAGCGCCTGTAACTCACCAGCACCCTTACCCTTCAACACCGGAACGCATTACTGTTTGGCGGCAGAAATAGGTAAGGTGCCAGTACTTCCCTGGACAAACTCTTTCACAAGAAGCTCTACAGCTACTTAAACGATGTAGACAGTCCGTAACGCATACGGCCTTGTAGCAAATTGATCTGTGTGACTGTAGTCACAATTTTAACAAAAAGTCGCAATTATAAACAAAACACAAATATTGACGCGTTACCTCTACTAGGAGTGTAAATTTCTGCATAATCGTGAGTGGTGTCGCCGTCTGTCGAAGTGTTGGGCGTTGTAGGCATTACTACTAAATTTTCAACAGCAGTCTGGAAAAGAGAAACACCTTGACGTTAGTTTGAAACGCAAGTAATTACTATATTTATTTTTTAATATCATATTTTACTACCATGACATACATGTACATTTTTAGAAAACTGCTGCACTATTTACTATTATTGCAACAAAAACCGTTGGTGCTGAGAAAGCACGAATGGCGGTACATAATGCTTTGTTGGTTCCAACGCTAATGTATGCGAGTGAGTGTTGGGTGTGGTAGAAGAAGCATGAGAGCAGAGTGAATGCAATTGAAATGAGATTCCTCAAAAGAATGTGTGGTAAAAAGAAATATACAGAGCTAACGTAGAAGGAATCATTGGAATTGGAAGAGAACAGCCACAAAAAAACATTCTCTGATCAAATTGAGAGTATTCGTAAAAAGTCTAGAGTGCGTAATGAGAAGAATTAGAGGTATGTATGAAAAGATTGATGCATGCAAGTGAAGCAAGAAAGGTTTGTAAGGTTCGCGCTAAGTGGCGATTGACAGTCTCTGCCTACCCCATTGGGAACCTAAGGGCGTGAGTACATAAATAAGTAAAAGCCGTCACAAGTAAGCCCAATACAAAGACCTATAACAAAGAAATTCATAAGATGTGGTGACTTGGTTTCTAGCTAAGTTGATTAAGAGCGATGGCGCCGTTATGGCAACAGACACTAGTTCGAGTACAATTACACTGAAAGCTTTTTCTTTGTATGAATAATAATATTAGTAATTATTGAGGTTTGTAATACCACCTACGACTTTAAATTTTAAGTTGCATAACATATGTGAATATTAATTACCAATACCTCATGCTTAGTATTGTAAGAAGCTCGTGTCCGGGAGTCTATTTTTATGAACTCGTTTAAATATTGCACGACTCGGTCTCACACACAAACACCAACGAGTCCGAGTCAAGCGCGGGCATCAGAGTACGGACTTGAGTCTAAAAAGAACTCAAGTTGTAAACCTAACTCGAGTTTTGAACAAAACTCGTAACGGCTTCGGAACAAAAACCGACAAGTTGCTCTTCTAATTTCGTATAGTCTTGAATGGATTTGTCGCATTGTATTCAGATCCATGCATTTAAAACGTACTTTGAAGGAAGATTTAGCGGATGTTGTTCACTTGGACATTTAAATTATTCATAGAAACTTACAAAAACTAGCATCAGCACAGAGTACTAAAAAACTGACCTCATAAGTGCGTGGAATTACATTTATTGTCCAAGTTTTATTGACATCGGTTACCGGAAAGTGCACGAAACCGGATTCACCTCCTAGTTTGCCACCCATAGAGGTGGAATATTGACTTCAAATTTAAATGGATACCGTCTACCCAGCAAAAAAGAATCATCAAAATCGGTTCACAAATGCCGTTTATATCAGTTCATAAATGAGTTATCGCGAAACATACATACAAAAGTTTAAACAAACTAGAATATATCAAAATGTGACTTATAGATTTTTGTTTCCATTCTCTAAGGTTCCTTCATTATAAACCCGATTTGTGTAAAATAGTAAACAGTTTGTCTCAATATCAAAATATACTAATTTTTAACCGACTTTAAAAAAAGGAGGAGGTTCTCAATTGGGCTGAAGTACTAAGAAGTAACTAAGAATGGCAAATAAGGAGATAAAATCGGTTTATTGGATTTCACTCATTTTACATTTACCAATTTCAATAAAACTTGGCAAATAGATGTAATAATTAGTAAATAATCAATAAATAGAAGTTATTCCACAAACTTATGAGGTGAGTTTGTATTTATAAAAATGTTACGATTATGAAATAATAATATTCGTTTTGATATATTTTGGTGTTGTGTTTTATTTATTATATGAGGAGTAAATGTAAAACCAAGTTCCCACTACTAACGTAAAAAAAGGCCATCACTCAAAAATGTTATTGCCCGTGTAATCTATCTAATCCGTGTAAACCGTGCAATTTCACGTTATACCTTAAATGGGTAACACCGATTGACATTAAGAAAAAAATACTTGAAAGTACCGCCAAATCATCGGCTAGTAAACTGGCAGTGGTTCTCTCATCCATGGTCCTATTCATAGTGTTGAGCGGCGGAGTGGCGGCGTTAGTGTTGTTGGCGACGTTCGTCGTACCGATGGACAAGTTCCGTCGATGCCTGACCGGCGTGCTGTAGTGGGGCTCCGACGAGGCTATTGGTAACTGTTGACAGATATTCAGATATTAATATTGTGGCTTGGAATTCATAGACACGAACTGGTATATCACACTCTCAATATTGAAGTGACATTATTCGAGAAAGAATTTTTAGGGACTGAAAAAATTAATTTAAAAACAATTGGCAACAGCCCATTGACTTACAATTATATGGACGTCGGGTCCGCGCTAAAAAGTGTCCGCACTTGTAAGGCGCTAAAATCGTATACAGAGCGCGACACTCCGCTTTAGTCTTCATTTGTTCTACGGACAGCGCGATACTACGATGACATAACAATTTAAATTTCGAATAGGTTGACTTGGGACATTTTTTTCGTGGTTCTTGTATTAGACCCGTCGTCCATTTATTTGTAAGTCAATGCAACAGCCACATAATTTGATACTAAAGAAAACAAAAAATCTATTTGGAACTGTAGCTACAATTTCGGAACCATAGTTTCGGGTTATTATTATTTCCTCAATGGCAGCCTCTAGGCTCGGGCCAGTGTCAGTTACGATGAATGCAGTCAGTTAATATTGATCAAGAACGCCAACGTTAAGGCAGCAACAAAGTATTTAATTTTCGAAGAACCTCGTCAACAAACTGCTGTTGTGAAAAAAAAAAACAATCATGGACAAACAATAAACTCAAGCTTAGTATTATTAGAGCATATAAAGTTTATAGGTCTCATAGTCAGGACTCTGACAGTCAGGTCAGTCAACGTTGGTTTGCTTGAAAAAAGAAATCTTTTTCGATTTAGATCCGAGAAAATAGTGTATTGTAACAATCGCGAGAATCTAAAAATTATAAAAATCTAAAAAAGATTTGAAAGTTTTGTGGGTAGTTTTTTAAATTTATTTTATCAGTTTCAAAAAAAATGTATTTTTCGAATATCGTCACTTTAATACTGTCGTGGTGCTATGTACTCTGTATACCAGTAACGAAGATATGCATAATATCTACTAAAATTGGAATATAAAATTGTTTTCAAACCGATGGGAATTTTGTCATATGAACTCTTCGCTACCTACTGCTATACACTATCAGATATAGGACAGTACAAACGTTACACAAATCTTTTGAAATACGTGCGTGGCACACAATTTACTCATTAACCTATGCCTGCGCAGGTACACTTGTAGAGGTCGTTCCGAGCGGTATGTCAATATCTTTGGCAGTTGTCCTTGTTTTAAAACAAAAACCTATATGAACTGCCAAATGACATAATACTGTCCTACATACACTATGACGCTGTGTCCATTCAATCTATACAGTCTGAACTATTTAACTCGTCAGATAAACATACAAGCTATGTGCTGCAATAAGTGTGAATCTAAAAATTGTTAACAACTTCAGAAAAGTACAAACTTGAATTGAAGCGACACTCATTAAATGTGAACATCAAATCGATTTATAAAATTCAAGAATAAAAATATATTAAGGCGGAAAATAGAATATTGAAAAGAATAGGATCTGTTTAATGCAGACTCAACAGACGCTGACTTGATGTTACATCAGAAAGACAGACATAATATGCGTCCACTCATCATGTTGACTATACAATAAACTGTAGTACTTTGTAGCAGCAAAATAAACTTTAGTGAACGTATATACACAACAGTGGCGAAGTCAGGACATTTGAAGAAGGTAATATGATGGCATTTTCAATTTCAATTTTATACCACTACTTACATGGTTAAATTTATTTTCAAGCTAATGGGATTCATGTATTATGGAATGCCACTAGTACATATATACAGGAGTGGTAAGCCACCCAATTAAGTAGATTAAAAATAACAAGCGTGACAGGTTTGCATAAAAATGTAAATGTAGTGTTAAATTAAATAAAAACCCATTCAGAGGTTCTAGCACATCAATTTCTAAAGGCTAACAAGTTAGATGTTGATCGTCAACCATGGAATTTCCGAGAACAAATTTCTCTTTCACCACAATTTCAGAATCCATATGTAACTTGTGAGCCTTTACCTGTGGCCCTTCCAGGCTCTCTGATCTCCGGCGATTGGAGGCCAGGAGGCTGGGGGAGGCCCGAGGGAAGCCGTCCTCTCGCACTTCGAGGGACAGGCTTGCTCGAGTGGGCAGTAGCTGAGAATGAATTTGTTTGCGTGATCCTTTCCATTATTATAATTAAGACGCAGTCAAAACAATGCGCGCAGACTTGTTCACATTTATGATAGGCCAATATACTTTCTAATACAGAAGTGTACACAATGTATAATCTCTGTGGAGTTTAACTGGGTTTTCATGTAACTTATGTAAGAAATAAATGATCATGCACTGCAACAAGAAGTAATTGGTTTTAAATAATTGCAGTTTTTTTTAAATACCATCTTCGATTTACTTGACCTTCATCAACTTCAATTATTTACAAAATACTTACAGCACAATTCCTGCTCCCTTGAGCAGCTATGTGGTTCCGCAGCAACTCCAACTGTTGATTGCAGCGATCGTTCTGCTCTCGCAGCTGCTGGTTTTGCTGCTCCAGCTCCCGTAGTTTATTTGTCACCCACTCCTTGATTCGGGCCGCTTTTGCTTCTACCTGCTTCGCGTCCTGGAGTCGCAGCTGTTTCTGGAAGATGTTTATAATAAATGTATTACAATAAAATTATTTTAATATTTCTTTTTTAATTAATGAATTTTAATTTAATTATAATAAAATGTTATGATTAGATGTTGATTTATGAAACAGCAGGAGACCAGTAGGTCAAAGCATAGTGTGAATGTTTCACTTTGGATTAAGCCACCCTTCTAATAACACTAATAATATAACAGTGGTCCAACTAGCTCATATTGAACAGTAATTTGAACTTAGTTTACCCCACTGGTTGGTATTTAAATAATCTTTTTAAAAACAATAAGATTACACATATCTTCTTCTTTTAAATGCTATGACTCCATCGAAATAAACGATGATTACGCCAATGTCAAGTAAAAATGTTTTGTAAAAATATGACTTCTATTTTATAATGTTACAACCCCATCGATGCCATATCGGTAAACCCGCCTATACCAAGTTGAGGAACGCGGGTGTTTTTAACTCAAAGATTGACCGGCAAATTCTGAAAAAATTCACTGAGAAGAGAATACATACACAGACTATTACAAAAGCAAATTGCTTTTTTTAATAAACTTACACAGGACATAGCAAAAGAAGAGTGGACTAATGTTAAGAGGAAGTTGATATTAACGTGATGGGGAATTTTAGAGGGGAGGACATCATACAGAGGAGTGACAATATGATTACAGTAAAGAAACAGGCGCTCGAGGGTACTCTCTGCCAGACCGCACTCGCACAGGGAGTGATCTTGAACACGAATCTTGGGCAAGAACACAAAAGTACCATTTAGAGCTTTAAATCGCGTAGGCGTGAGGCAACTGGCACTGCACCCGTCACCCTGAGATATTTAAGTTGAAAAATCCCATGTGCCTGAACTTTAGCTAGCACTATTATCCTTTCAAAACCGGAACACAGATAACAAAGCTCACGTGAGTAGTTGGCGGCAGAAATAGATCTTTAACTTCTCGCCTATGTCGAAAATATCTTTCTATATCATCAAGCATATTTAGACCACTAACACGATAGGCCACACAATGATCTTTTGAATAATAAGTTTCAAAAACCATATGAAAAATTATTCGTTTTAATGCTGTTTATTAAATAAATGTGAGTGGAAAACTTTTTTTGTCATATTTTACGTCGAAAATCTATTTTACCTGCATTTTGTTTATTCACAGTAACATTTTTCAAATTAGAATTTTGAATATTTATTGACTGGAATATGCACGCTTTATGTTGTAATTGCTCGTTCTTAGTTTATAACCTTGATTTTTACACTTAACTCAAACATTTTCATTCAAAACTTTCGGAAAACGTAAATTAAATCCCACAATAACAATCACTTCACGTCACCAGTCATGTTTGACGTTTCGTTTAAAACAGGTTATGACGTCATTGTTTGAATGTATTCAATTATTTCATTCTTAATTCCAACAATAGATGGCGCTATTAGTATAAAACTAGAGCTGTACCGAATCGAATGACGTTATTTGAAAAGTCTTTCTTTTAAATTAATAATATTGTGATTACCTGTTCTTCAATCTGGCCCTCGAGTCGCGTAATGGCTCTAGGTGCGCCTTCAGCGGCACCCGGACCAGGCCAATCGCACAGCCGCTGCTCCATGGCGCGGACCTGAAACAAAGGGAATAAAAATATTAGCATTTTAAATAGGTAAAGGAATAAATAATTTTGTTAAAATCTTTTGTCGAAGCTCAAATTACACATAAGAAGTAATATTACAATTCATGGAGCACTCATAATACTAAATCTATGGTACCTAGCACTACATCAACAAAAAATATTTATTTTTAAAGTAGTACCTACCTAATTACCTATAGTCTGTTCTGGTTCCATCATGTTGCATTGAAGTTATTGTCTCGTTGTTATTATTATATTCCAGTAATAACCACAATATTACATGAACAGACAGAAGCCGCAAGATGCAAATCCCTGTCGTGTTGCAATGTGGTTCGCGATATTATGACATGCCTATATCTCGGCTAACCGCATCATAATGCAAGCTAGATAGTGCACACTATCTCCTTGTATACAAACATACGTTGTTTATCTATATTATAAATTGTTCTAAATAACAGCTAAAATTTGAATCAAAAAGTAGGTAAAAAAGAAAATCTCGTTATAAGGTAATTCAATCGATCAAAATACATGGATGAAACCATTGTAATGCATGTAATTCACACCCCAAAATTACAAGTGAACACATAGAACCAGTAATTAGACGAACGGAATTAATACAAATAAGGGTGGATTAAGTTGAAACAACTGGACGCTAATCCAATACGACGACGGCGCGGATTATTCCCACTTCTCATATTAAATGTAACGCCGCCAGACAGTACGGGGTATGTTAGCATAAAAGCATTTGTTTTAGAAGAGCAAAGCTTATATTTCTCAAAATAATATAAATTCCAATATCTATGTTAATATAGGTACCTTAATCTAACTACTCGTATATTTTCCGAATAATAAAACATAACTAGGCTCAAAGCTGTCCATTTCCTACCTAATCGTGGCAGCCATTTTTGTTTTTTTTTTTTGTTTTTTTTTACAGTTCTGCACATTTGCGCGCGTAAATATTGTGCTGTATTTGACCATAATTATCTCAAGAAACAGGTCGAAATTAATAGGCTTCTGATTGACGACCTGTAGAATTAAGTATATTTTTTAAACTAGTTTAAAATTTCATAAGATTTCATGGGTCGGTCAAGTAATTCCGTTCGGAAATTGAGCAATTTGAGCGAACGCTAAGAAAGCTTCACTCGCTCAAATCGCTGCACTTCGATTAGTCTTACGAACTAAAAAAATAACATGCAGACAGTTCACTTCTGAAATTAGCACAACATGAGGTGATTAACATACAAGATTAAATATTTTTAAAAATAAACTTGCCATTACAAGTACTATCCATTAAAAATAAATTAGTATATTCACGTAGTTTTCTGATTGGGCAGCGGGAAACAAGGACTAGGCATATTTTAAGTCTTGGTAGACGATATGCAACAGTGAGATCAATTTGACACATAGGTAATTACTTTGCAATTTGCTGGGTCATTAAGTAGGTACATTGTGTAGGAATCAACGATTAAGCAAGCAACTGACGTCTCAAAAAAGGTTACAATATTGTTGTCTTTATTTAATGTAAGATGGACATCCGTGGGAGATTTGTGGGGAAAAAATTGCAATACAATTTACATTAAATGAGCGTTCTAGTATGCCTTTATGATACTAGAATGCTGCACAATATGCAGGATTTCAATATTCTAAGCGAACGACTTTGCACGAGCGTATTTGGAACGATGGAAAAGAGTTATTTTGGTTTTTATGCTAAAGCTCTTAGGGTCGTATTCCAGAACTCTACTCAATGCTCAAGTCAGGACTTGAGTATGATTTAAAGCACTAGAAATCATAATCAAGTCCTTGCTATTAGGGTCGTATTTCCAGTGCTTGAAACCATATTCAAGTCCTGACTTGAGCATTGAATAGAGTTCTGGAATACGAGCCTTAGATTTGTAATGAATGTGGTTGTCATTTGTAATTTGTTATTCAAAGCAACATCAACATTTTTTATATGACTGTAGGAAAGCCAGAACAGATAAACACAAATATGCGGTCACTCTTCATAATTTTAACTATGAAACGTAGAAGGTAATTCATGTTACACTTACACAGAGAGAGAGAGAGAGAAAGAGAAAGTAGAAGGCCTGTATTTAAAATTCTTTAAACATCCACATATTCATTAACTGTAAAGGCTTTCGCGTAGTATCTGATGCTATAGCTCTACTAGATATGTTACAGAACAATGTACGCTACCTTAATTCAAATTACTAGTTGCAAGTAATAAAATTAACATAATAATTTCGTTGACCGTTGAGTATTATTACCTTAGGCAATGATGAACTCATGTTGGGCGCAAAGTGTAAAATATTTCGGGGCTATACTCACATCTGTCCGCGTATAGATTACAGAGGGGCATTCCGATGGCTATACGTCGCAGCATTTCGACGCTGAATCATCCGCACTTTGGTTTACAGTCCATAATCCTCATTACACACGTATACATAAATGGTTTCCACTCAGCGTAATAAAACACGTGGTTTTTACTGGCTTTACAGACATAAATTCAGGAGTTCAACGAACTTCCAGATTATGTGAATCGAACTTTTATATAACGTCTATAGAAATCGAGTTCTTAGGTTTCTGCGATTGCCACATATAAATCGCCTAGGCTTAATAAATAAACAACGTTTCGGGCCCTTTACAGATCCCATGGTTACGACACTGATAGGTGGGCTTTATTAGTCAACGTTGGTTTGTTTAAAAAAAATAAAAATAAATCTTTATCGATATAGATCCGAAAAAGTTCATTTTCAATGTGTAATAATGGCGAACATCTAAAAAAACATCGTTTTGTTTTGTACCATGGTCACGCACGGTTGACTTATCCGAAAAGGGAATCTTGTAAAGAGCTCGAAACTTTGGTTTGTTTGAAATAACAAATATGGCGTATATTTGTTACCTGAAAAAAAATGTGACCTTTAGATCACAAATTATGTGATTATGTTGATTGTTTTCGTTTAATTTCTAACTTACGAATATATATGTTTATTACAACCTCAGCTTCTCGTTAAAATTAAAAAGCGCTCTCTACAATCTTTTTACATTTCTATAGACTCAAAATTCACTAGTTAAAAAGGACCTTAGCCATCCATGTTACGATTATTCATTGCTGATTTCAAAACGCATACATTTTCCTGACAAAGGAAAGTGTCAGTGTTAAGAATACGCCCAGGAATAGGTCGCATTAATCACATACACGGCAATTTGCCTGAGTCACGTCACGAAGGGGACGCCACGAATATCGGGAATCTAATTCCGGCTACACTTAGACGCAAAGAAAAATAAGCGATAGTTAGCGCCTTAAGGGAAACGTAAACTACGCGATGACGTATAAACAATATCAATCAAAGTTGAGATCCTTTGTGGACTTGACAGGTTGATTGAAGTCAAAATGAAGGGAAATAAGGTTTAATGTTGCACGTCATAGAAGTAGCAAACTGACGCCGCTGGAGAATTGGAAATAAAATGTGATCTTTTTTATGATATCAAATGACGGGATGAACAAGTTGTATTTAGGCCTTGTGGTGAGGAACGATAAATACAAATGACTCTAGCTCATCATCCAAGGCAAAATCGCTGGAAAACGAAGTGTTGGTAGTAGACGGCACTCCAGGTTGAAAAATTTGAATGGAATGGTTCGGCTGCAGTACCACCTCGCTCTTTAGAGCGGCAGCCTCTAAAGTCAGGACTGCTATGATATTGTCCAACTTCCTATAGGAAAGGAACCCTAAGAAGATGAAGATAAGCGACACGCCTTTCCATAGCATTTGCAGTGTCAATCAGAGCTTTAAATCGCAAGGATCTGATAGACACTGTCACTGCGCCTGTCACCCTGAGACATAGGTTGGCAACTCTCATGTGCCTGCAGTTTCGCCAGCACCCTTACTTTTCAAAACTGGAACGAAGTAACGCTTTCAAAAAGAGATCTACTGCTACTGAAGTTAAGTTAGGTAAGGTAGTTTGAAAAAGATGTCAAGAAGGGGCGGAGTGTGTGCAATAGTAGACTGCTAAGAGTGACACCTTATAGAAGAGAGCTATTTTCAGCATAAGATGAAAATGTTGTTAAAGAAGAAGCCTAACACTATTTGTTATATAGTATTTAATTAATAGTGCAGCTACTACAAACGTTTGGAAGGAAATTGATCAATGAAAGCGAAAGTGAGTACATAGACACCGCATCCGTAATTATAACCCATCTGCAATTTGGATTAGCGGTCAAGTGTAAATTACTCGCACTCAACACACTACTCTGTTGATTACTGAACTCAGTCTAATTAAACCGTAGCCGGCGATGAATTGTTCAGTCACAAACTTCCTTGTTTATTTAGAGTACCTCATTCCGTAATGTCCGGATGCAAGTAATAAAGACGAGGTGTTAACGTTATTGCGGACCGTAAAATTACGTTTCTTGTGTTTTTAGATTTGTACAACTGCCACGTGCACCGTAAATTTGTAATTAGTATTTAATTAAATAAAAAGTAAGTTCATCTGGGAATACATTTTCAGTCTGCATTTTTCAGTTGAAATATTGGTCACCTCGTTCACCTCGCTCGTGACGTGTGATTTACGATTTCAAAATAACCCGCAACTGAACGCATCGGTAAGCGCCACCGGATGGGCGGTTGTCGTTTTATTTATTTTATTTTTAATTTCGAATTGAATCATCTTCCATAAAATCTACTTTCTCTTAAAAGGAAATTTTAGTAACGTAAATACGAATTGAAGAACGTATTAATAGGATTATTGAAAATTCTTTTTATGAATTAAAAAGAAAAATACTACGCACTTTTATTTTTATTAAATTGTAATGACACTTTTTCTTCGGTATATTTTTTTTAAACAAACCAACGATTCGAGCTCTTTACTGGCTAAGTCGACCACGATCATGAGATCATGTTTGGAGCCTGAAAATCGATTTGAGTCTATAAACACAACAAATGTAGGGGATTTAGATTCGCAAGAAAAGAATTCATTTCATTAGTCAGAAACTGAGG